CCCGTGGGGCGCTGGTGCAGAGCAGGCCCGTGCCTGAGGCCTCCACGGACTCTGCTGACCTTCGCAGAGGGGTGCTTGGTCTCAGGATCTGATAGTATCATTTTTGAAGCTTATTTACTGCCCTTACTTTGAAAAACAGGATGATGGAAGCTTTGGGCTCCTGGCCCTCGGCTCCCTGCTCAAACGGCCACGACAGCCGGTCTGAGGCTTGAGCCCGGCACCACCACCTGCCGCGGCACGTGGCTGGGTATGAGCAGTGCCGAGTCTCCCACATCAGCCAGGGTTCTCGTGTGGGATGTGAGGACCCCCTGCAAACTGGAACCCCGAGTTCCTGGGCTCATTGCACAGACTGCCTGCTGCTCCTTGCAGGCCGGGCCTCTGGGCGCTTTCAGAGGCAGGTAAGGGGAATGTCTGGGCAGCAGAGGGCTGGCGCTGCATCCCGTGTCAGAGGACCTGGGTTCCATTAGTTTCCTGGGCAACAAGACATGCGGGACCCTCTTTGAGCGCCAGGCTCCTGGATCAGCCTGCCTGGCCTTGGCTGCTGCTGGCATTTGACGGGTAGGAGACCCCTGTCTTCTGTCTCTCTCTGTCTAGGAGATCTGGGGAACCCAACCACCCCCAGTGGAAACATGCCAGGACAGAGCAGCACTTGGTCACGGAACCCCTGCCAGGGGCACGCTCAGCCCAGGCCCAAGGCCATCTGTAATGCCCATTGGGCTCCCCGGCTTGGCCTATGTGGGTGCTGTCTGTGCCACGTCCCTCCCTCAGCTGCTTCTGTTGGTTTCAGCTGAAATTCTAAACTCCATTAGCGACTGACGCCAGCTGCAATCGATTTCCAGGCTCCTGGTGAAACGTCTCCATCTTCGTGTGCTTCCTCCTGTGCTTTACTGTAATCCAGCTTGCACGCGCAGTGGCCGAGGTGGGCGCCGGGGGAGGGCTGCCACACGTCCCAGCCGGAGCCGTTGTCCCTTCCTGGAGCGCAGGCAGAGTCTCCACTGCACTTGTGCCCATTGCCTTTGGCCTTGCTGGTTGCTGGCACTGGCAGGTGTGTCCATGGACACACCCTGTTCTGAGTTGCCCCTGCTGGGGTGACAACCTGTAGGGCACTCTGCCCTTAAGTATCCATTGTGAGATGCTGCTTACTGGAAATAGCTACAAGTGTTTCCTTCACTGGTCACTTCCTGCACCTGCTCCCCAGCCTCTTCCATGCCCGTTCCTGTCCTGCAGTTGTACCTGCGTGGACATTGCCTGCGCATAGAAGCCTGCTGTCCGGAGCTCTGTGCTGGTGTCTGTCCCTCAGCCAGGCGCTCTCGAGCCTCACCCCTGCAGAGCACCCTGAGCCCCTCTGCAGGTCTGTGTGGGTCTGTCGGCCCTGTGAGGCTCCCCGGAGGCCAGGTGCACACAGCCTGTTGATCTGTGCGGGGAGTCTGTGTGGATCCGTGTCAGTCCCTGCCTCATCCCACGTGATGTGCAGGTGTCTGTAGGGCTTGTGTATGCCACAAGGCTCAGTCTCTATGGCAGACCCTGGTGCTGCCCTGGAGGGGGCACGGTGTGTGTGGACGTCCCTGGGGTCCAGTCCTTCCCCCAGCTGCAGACACACCTGTCAGTATCTGGTTCCACTCAGCCATTACGGGAGCAGAGCATTCCTGACCCTGCTGCAGCCTCCAGCGTGCAACTTGGGGCCGGGTGACTGTGTGTGTGTAGGCCCTGCCAGCACAGCAGCCCATCACAGGCTCCTGGGGAGGTGCTGGCCCAAGACAGGGCAGGCGATGCTACGGACAGTGTTCAGACTCCCATCTTTTATCCCCAATCCTGCAGACGAGGACAAGTGAAATGAAACATCCTCTTTTCTGCCCCTGAAACAAGAGGGCGACCGTGGACTGCAGTCCTCAGTGGCAGGTCCTGGCTATCACGCCTGTGTGGCTGGCATGGCTGTGTCATACCCGTGTGGTTGGCATGGCCGTGTCACGCCTGTGTGGCTGGCATGGCCGTGTCACGCTCGTGTGGCTGGCAAGGCTGTGTCACACCCGTGTGGCTGGCATGGCCGTGTCACGCCTGTGGCCGCAGCAGGTCCTGGCTGTCACGCCAGGACAAAGGGACAAAGGGTAGGACAAAGGGACCTGCTAAGTTCTGCCTGACTTAGGACTGTTGGAAGTGGTGGGAGGCCTCTATTTCTGCTGGGTTGGAAATGGGCTGCCCCCAGTCTCCAGGTGAGTGGACATGCTGCGTGCTGCTCTCCCAGGACACTGCCCTCCAGACACTGAGAATACGGACGTTAAGTCGCAGAACCAGCTTCCCTCAGTGTAGTCTTCATGCACAGAGAGCGTCAGATCTGGGAAGGCAGCGTCTGGAGGTTGCATTCTCCCCACCCCAACCCGGGCCAGGAGAGCGCCAACCCTGTCCCAGTCCTGTGCCTGAGGGGAAGGGAGGACATTCAGCTCCCTGCTGGTGGTCTGGGAGAACAGCAGAGGATGGCCCACGTCTTGGGCCCCTGTGCCCATTGGGAGCCCCAGGGGAGGCTCCCGGCTCCTGGCAGTCAAGGAAGATCTCTGTCTCTCCACCCCTCTGTAAGTCTAATAAGTAAATAAGAATGGCAGCCCAAGGCCGCGGGTGCCTGGGAGGGGCTGTGACCCCGGTTTTGCCAGAGCTAGGACAGCAAGTAGTACTCGGGTTGGCTTGTGGGGTTGCCCTGACCTGCCAGCACCTGGTTGGCTTTACAGGTTGTCAAGCTAAGCTGTGATCTTCCTGTTGGAGCCTCCATTGCCTCAGAGTTGGGGAGATGCAGAGGAGCCCCCCACGGCCTGGGCCTGGGATGGCCATGCACCGTGGGGGACCCAGTCACCCGTTCTTGGCGGGGGCTCCTACTCTAAGGGAACTGGGGGACGACCTGTCCCATAGCCATGAGTCTCACAGCTGGCCTTGGTGACTGACAGCTGTCACTCACATGCCTTTGGACTCCCATTTTCTTAGGAGACTTGACCTGTGGGTTAAAGGGCAAAGTGGGCTTTGTGGGTGTCCTGGGAAAGTGCAGGGTCGCTGCTTCACCCCAGAGGAAGGTGGTATGTGGTGTCCCCTGCCCCTGTTGCTCATGACTGAGGGCACGCCGGACTATGGACCCATCCACGGACCCCAGTCCAGCCACTGTTGTTCTCGGGAGGCCAAAGCTGAGGCCCTATAGATCGCTCGCATCCGGACCCCAGCCCCTAGCTCCAAGTGCGGTGGGCGGTGACAGCCAGCAGGAGGAAGGGGTGGGCCAGGGCTGGGGATACAGACCAGGGGGTGCAGCCCAACCGTGGAGACCACAGGTGGCTCTGAGGTGCAGGGGTCTGAGTTGGTACAGCCTTGTCACAGCAGGGTGGGAACCGAGCCGGGTGCACTGCCAGCACCCTGGAGGAGGGGGAGTGTGCACACAGCCCCCCGTGTCCGGGCCACTGCCTCCAGCATCCGCGACCAAGGCCTGCAGCGTTTGTCCGGCAGTCTCCTTTCTGCCCCTCTCCTCCCACCTCTGTCCTCTTTCCTTGGGCCTGGGACTAAACAGGACAGCTCAGGCTGTGCCTTATACTAGAAGGGTTTCCTCTTCCTGTGGCTATGTGGGGACCACAGGTCCTGATTTAAAATGCGCATTGTACCTCAGGGCACAGTCACACACTGCAGGCCTTCAGCCCCCTGGTGAGGCTGCGTGAATGGCCTTTTCTTCTCACTGCCCTGTCCGGTCTAACTGGCCAGACTGCCCTCGGGCTGCCCCAGGTCACCGGGAGCTTGGCAGGTGAGCCAGGCTCTGGATGCCAGGTAGTCCCTGCCCATCTCCCTCCACTTGCTGAGCCGCATGCTGGTGGGAGGCCTGGGGTGCCAAGGGTCTCGTCACTCAGGGATTCTGCTGCTGTGCAAGGGGCCAAGGAGTGCAGCAGGGGGCAGCAGGGGGCCTTCCAGGGTGCCTGCTGGAGAAGTGAGCCAGAGGGAGATGCCGCACTGTGGCCCCCAGGCACTGCTCGTGGCTCAAAGCCGTGGGTGTTGATCCCATGCTGCCCACTGCACTGGAATTCCTGGAGCTGTGGGGCGCCCCCTGGTGCTGGGTCCGCTGGTGGCCATGGTCCCCAGCTCTCACTCTAGAGGAGGTGACCCTCCCCACCCCTCTACTCATCCACAGCCCAGACTGATAAGAAGGAAGTAAGTGCTTTCATGTGATTTGTGTGGAGACCTCTGTTTATTCCTGGGGAAAACTCACCCGCGACAAAGAGGAGAGGGGTTGGTGTTGGTGTCAGGGTGGAAGGTTGGTGCTGGGCTACCCACAGGAGTGGACTGTGACCCCACAGGGCTCGTTGCCGACCCCCAGAGGCACTGTGACCCCACAGGGCTCGTTGCTGACCCCCAGAGGGACTGTGACCCCACAGGGCTTGTTGCCAACCCCCAGAGGCACTGCTGTGACCCCACAGGGCTCGTTGCTGACCCAGAGGGACTGTGACCCCAAGGGGCTCGTTGCCGACCCCCAGAGGTGGTGCATGTACTCACTGTCCCCAACAGGCTGGTGGAGGCAGCTGTGTGGCTGCTGCTGCTACTATGGGGCAGGTTGAACATGGGGACAGACCCTGTCCCCAAAGCAGGCCCGTTAGCAAAGGAGGTGACTGCATAAGCCTGGATTGAAGCCCTTAGGGCTTGGAAGGTGGCTCCTGGCCGTGGGGCTGGGCCATGGAGAGGTTCCTGACACAGAACCAGAGAACATGCAGCAGTGTGGGGGCCACGGCTCTGTCGGCTGCTCCCGCGGGCCCAGTTTCCTGGCTCCTTCAGCCCGCATCATTCCTGGGGAGGTTGTGTGCACTCTGCTGTTCTCTGAAGTGACACTCCCAGTGCGTCTACCCCGACCCTCAGCAGCACGAGCTGCGGACCTGCAGCGTGAGGTCTGTCGGGGCTGGGTGCCGGGTCTCCCCAATCCCCAGCGTGTGTTCAGCCTTGCCACGTGCAGCTCCGCAGGCCCGCTGATGACCCTGTGTTTGCCCTCGCAGTGCGCTGGAGAGGAGAACTGGGTGGACAGCCGGACCATCTATGTGGGGCACAGGGAGCCCCCTCCCAGTGCCGAGGCATACATCCCTCAGAGATACCCGGACAACAGGATTGTCTCCTCCAAGGTGAGTCAGGCCAGGAGGACATGGTTCCTGCACGCGGCATTAGCCATCCTGTCCTGGACACAGCCCTGCCTCCCAGGTCAGTCCTGGGTGAAGGTCTCCAGAGGGAGACTGACCATACCCATGTACACCCGCGTGCTGGTGTAGACCTGGGGGTGGATGGATGGTGCACTCACGCCCCTCCCGCTGGTGCCCCCTGCGGGCACAGAGCCAGCTGCACTCACCACCCCCACTGGCGCCCCCTGCAGGCACAGAGCTTCCCCATGGACAGAGTTGTGCTCAGGGAAGCATGGGGAAGGCCCAGTCCCCGTGTGGCAGCAGTGTGGCCTGTCCTGGCACATTGAGTCTGTCGGGGGCCCTTGGCTCCTTCACAAAGCCCCGTGTGGGGTTGTGGGGAGGTGACCAAACACCGTGGCTGCTGCATCTGGCTGCTGAGCCCTGCTTTTCAGGTTCTGCCTCAGTAGGGGTGTGGGCATTGAGGGCCCAGCTCCCCCCTTTCCCTGTGGGAGGGCCCATACCAGGAGTGAAGAGGCTGGGCTCCTAGCCGTGTGCACTCATTGCAGAGGCCAGTCCCTGAAAGTGGAAGCAGCTCTGATTGGCTGTGGGTACCCCAGGCAGTGTGTTAACCACGTGCCACCTCCTCCATCATTGTGCCACCACACTCAGCTCCTGGGTCCATCTCCTGCTGCCACCCGGGTGCACGTGAGGAGGGAGCTGGTACAAGGCTGGCGGCCCCCTGACAGGCCCTGGTGGGATCTCCCTCTGTGGGACTTGGCCCCAGATGGAGAGGGTAGGCCCTCTGGCCTACACCACAGACCTCCTCTCTGGGGGACTTGACCCCTAACCAGGGTGTGGGCTCCCCAGCCTGCACCCCAGGCCTGCCCTATGGAGGACTTGGCTCCTGACAGGGGTGTGGGCCCCCCAGCCTGTACCACAGGCCTCCTCTCTGGGGGACTTGACCCCTGACTGGGGTGTGGGCCCCCCAGCCTGCACCACAGGCCTGCCCTCTGGGGGACTTGACCCCTGACACGGGTGAGCCCTCAGCTCTGCACCACAGGCCTGCCCTCTGGGGGACCTCCTGCTAAGTGACACCTTCAGGAATTTGTGGAATTTTGATGGATTTGTGTGGTAACTGAGTGTGCCTTAGTGCCTGGGCGGGACCACAAGCACAGTGCCGCTGGGAGTTGGTGTTGTCTAGAAAGGAGATGGGTGAGGAATGGAGGCTGGTTCTATGCTGGCCACTGACAGCAGCCGGCGTGTGCCTCATTCTGTACTGCATCTGGTGATCCCGCAGTGTCTCCTTGAAGAGTCTGTGCAGGCTAATGGACCTTTTAACTCAGAGCCCATTTAAGAGGCAAGAGCTTGTTTCTGAGGTTTGCAGGAAAGCCAGAATTAGAGTATGTTGGCAGTTGGGACTGTGCCAGGCGGGTGCCAGACCTCAGCTGTCAGCCATCCTGGCATTCTGTGTGAGGGCTTAGCTGGCACCAGCCCGAGGCCAGCCTGGGGCGCTGCAGGTGCACAAGGAGGGCCAGGATAGCTTGCCCTGCAGAAGGCCTCGCCAGCATCCTCAGGCAAAGGCTGCCTTCAGACCCAGTGGCCGTGGCAGAGGAAGTGTACAGGGCAGCAGTGTCCTCCCCTGTACACCTGGTCACCGAGAGCGGGGGACTCTGCTGCTCTGTCCATCGGAGGGCCTGGCTCAGGAAGACCACCCTGGGAGCACGGACTTGCGGTTTGCTTGGCGTGTGCAAGAGCAGTGCCAGGTGCAGGGCACGTGTTCTGAGCTGGCAGCGGGAGCGCTGGGCTGGCGCTCCCCGTGGCGTGGCAGGAAGGCCGTCTGACCGCAGCAACGTGCCTTTGTCCCCTTTTTGCTGCAGTACACGTTTTGGAACTTCATACCCAAGAACTTGTTCGAGCAGTTCAGAAGAATTGCCAACTTCTACTTTCTGATCATATTTCTGGTGCAGGTAAGGTTGGCAGTCTGGCTCGGCTGCTGGAGGTCCACGGGGTGACGTGTCTGTCTCGATGATATGTGGCTTGTGCGGGTCCTTTGTGTCGGGGGTGGACATGCAGCTCTGTCTGAGGCCTGTCCAGGCTGAGACGTGGGGAGGGCTCGGTGTGCGGTCTGGGGGGTCCTGGCTGGCCTTGCCTCTGCCCTGCCCGAAGGAGTGACCAGAGGAGCAGTATGTCAGACGTGCAGGAGGACTTTAAATTTCCCCAATGTTGAATCATGCCAGGAACATAGCGTGTGACAGCAGTCAGCGGCTCGCTGGACTTTCCCTGTAACAGAGCCGGGCCCTTGGCGTGAGCGTGGGCACAGCAGCATGGTGTCCTCCTGCCCTGCTCGCTGCCCGGGCACAGGAGCGTGAGGCACCAGCCCCACGGGCACAGCAGCGTGGTGTCCTCCTGCCCTGCTCGCTGCCCGGGCACAGGAGCGTGAGGCACCAGCCCTGCGGGCACAGCAGCATGGTGTCCTCCTGCCCTGCTCGCTGCCCGGGCACAGGAGCGTGAGGCACCAGCCCTGCGGGCACAGCAGCGTGGTGTCTTCCTGCCCTGCTCGCTGCCCGGGCACAGGAGCGTGAGGCACCAGCCCCGCAGGCACAGCAGCATGGTGTCCTCCTGCCCTGCTTGCTGCCCAGGCACAGGAGCGTGAGGCACCAGCCCCACGGGCACAGCAGCGTGGTGTCTTCCTGCCCTGCTCGCTGCCCGGGCACAGGAGCGTGAGGCACCAGCCCCGCGGGCACAGCAGCGTGGTTCTCTCTCTCACAGCTAATTATCGACACGCCCACCAGTCCCGTGACCAGCGGGCTGCCCCTCTTTTTCGTCATCACTGTCACCGCCATCAAGCAGGTAAGGGCTTTGCGGAGTGCGGAGCAGTGTGGTCTGTGCTGCCGTGGTGCTCTCCTGCCCTTCAGAGGCAGCAGGCTGGGGCTGGCCGTGGGCCGCTCCCCCGGGGCTTGTTCAGAGCAGCTTTGAGCAGCACTTAGCCCACCCTCGCAGTGGGCTCTGCGTTGCATCCACACGGCAGAGTGCCCACTCTGTCCGTCTTGCACATGGACACTGCTGCATCGGCTGGACCTTTGAGATGCGTCCATGTGATGGTTCTTGTGAGCAACGCTGCTTACGCGTAGTTGTGTCAAGGCCTTGTGAGACCTGGTGACACTGACACACACAGCAGAGCAGAGAGCGTCATGGTCACACACAGTCACTCACACAGCAGTTTCATTCTTTTGTGTCCACACCTGAAGTCAGCTTGCTCTAGGTCCACAAGGGGCTCGCTGAGTGTCGTGACTTTGGCAGATCCCCCCCCAGGACTTGGTTCCTACCCCACCCCGTTTTCTCCACGTCTGTGGGAGCATGTGTTTGCAGCTCCCCCTGCTTGTCTCCTCCACAGCAGGTCGTCTTCACATCCTGTTCCTTCCCCATGTGCTTTCTTGACCTGCATTCCCAGTTGTGTCTGAGCCACAGTCCCCTACCGGCTGCAGGCGTCTCAGTGTGTGATGCTTGCATCTCGGCTGGGCTGTTGCAAGTTGAGAACCTCTGATGTCACTGCTGGGCCGAGTCCTGCTCATCAGGCGGCCTTGACGCGGGTCGTCCATGATGTGCCTGGTCCCAATCAGGCGACTGCTGTGGGTGCCTGGCTGTGGTGCACAGGGCTGTGCGCCTGCCCAGGGCTGCAGGCGCCCTTCTGCATGGCCAGCGGGTTTTCAGCATAAGTGCGTCTGGATGCAAAACTGGGGAACATTGAAGAGTTATTTGATATGGATTTTATTTTTTAACTTCTAATCTGGAAATGCAGAAGTGAGCAACAGTGTTATAGGTGATCCCACAGTGGGGACAGTGGTGTCCCCTGACCCACACATGAGGAAAGCAGTGTCCCTGACCCACAGTGAGGACAGTGGTGTCCCCTGACCCACACATGAGGAAAGCGGTGTCCCCTGACTTGCAGTGAGGACAGCTGTGTCCCTGACCCGCAGTAGGGACAGCAGTGTCCCCGACCCATGTAGAGGACAGCAGTGTCCCCGACCCACCTTGAGGACAGCAGTGTCGCGGAACTGGCACAGCAAGGAGCTTCTGACGGTGCAGGTCTAAGGAGCAGCTGCTGAAAGGGTGGGTGCAGGCAGGCTCCATGCACGGCTGTGAGGGTGCTGAGCCAGGTGTGCCCTTAGGAATTAATCTCAGGGGCCTAGCGCAGTAGCCTAGTGGCTAAATCCTCACTTTGCACCTGGATCCCATATGGGTGCCAGTTCGTGTCCCGGGTGCTCCTTCCCACCCAGCTCCCTGCTTGTGGCCTGGGAAAGCAGTTGGGGATGGCCCAAAGCCTCAGGACCATGCACCCACATGAGAGACCCAGAAATAACTTCTGGTTCCTGGTTCCTGGCTTCAGATCAGCTTAACTGGCCATTGAGGCCACATGGGGAGTGAACCAGTGGATGGATGATCTTTCTGTCTCTCTTCCCTCTGTAAATCTGCCTTTCCAATAAAAAACCAATCAATCGTTTGAAAAAAAAATTTTTAGAGGAATTAATCTCAGAGTGTCCTGGTCATGCCCAGAAGTGCCCAGCAGGGCCGTTGCCAGTTGCCATGAGGGAGTCCTGGGGTGAGGCAGGGTGTGCTGCACAGCACCCAGGCTGTGGGGCTGCCCGCCAAAGGCCGTGAGAAAACGCAGTTGACAGGCATGCGCAGACGTGGTCAGACGTGGCCTGGCCTTCACCTCCCGCCCCCGCCCCCTTCAGGGTTATGAAGACTGGCTGCGTCACAAAGCAGACAACGCCATGAACCAGTGCCCGGTCCACTTCATCCAGCATGGCAAGCTGGTGCGCAAGCAGAGCCGGAAGCTGCGGGTGAGGGGCGCTGCGGGTGAGGGGCTCCGAGGGCGCTCCCGTGGCGACTCTGCAGGCTGTGTGACGCCTGCAGCCCTAGCCCAGGCCCCATTCACAGCCTTGGTGTCCCCCTTCGGGGCACAGAGCTGCGTCCCAGGTGCGGCTGGTCCTCCTGGGAGCATGGAAGGGCCAGGGCACGGTGCAGAGTGTGTCTGCCACCCGGCTGGCGTCCCTCGCGGGTTCTGTGACTGCAGACTCACAGAGCCCTCGGCCTGTGCCCCTGGTGGCAGCTGAGTTCCCTGTCAGCCTCTCGGGGTCAGTGTCAGTGTGCAAAGGGCCCCTCTGGGCAGAGGTCCGCCCTCCGGGGACCCCTGCGCCCACAGCCTCTGCTGAGGTCCCTTCTCTGTGCCCTCTGGTCAGGGCAGCAAGTCCATGAGGCTTCGTCCTGGATCCCCGCTGCCCGCCCGGTCCCCTCCTGGGCCTCACCCCACAGTGCCACTGCCCAGCAGCCCTCCTGTCCACATGGCTTCCAAAGGGCCATGGAATTGAACATTCCATAGGTCCACGTGACATGGACTCAGTGCGGACAAGTCTGAGGCTCCAAGCCAGGGCAGTGACAAGTATAGGATGGTATAGGGTGAACAGGGACCCATCTGCAGTGTAGACAAGAGCGTAGGATGGAATGTGGTGTAGACCCAAGTGTAGGATGAAACAGGGTGAAGAGGGACCCCTGTGCTGTGTGACATGAGCGTGCCTTTCTGTAGAGCCCCAGCTACTCAGCCAGTGTGACCTTGGCCGTGGCTCAGCTCTGTCCTGGTCTGAGTGTTGATGACCCTGTTAGCATGCTCACCTGTGGCTTCCCTGCAAACGGCAGTGCCCCCATGTCAGCACTGCCTGCTGCTGGAACCTCAAAACCTCCTTGGGCTCTGGAAGCCCATGGGCCCCTACGTCCAGTGAGACTGGACGCTGCGGCCCTGGGGGCTCACTGTTGCTGCTGGGCTCTGTCTGGTAGGTGGGGGACATTGTCATGGTCAAGGAGGACGAGACCTTTCCCTGTGACCTCATCTTCCTGTCCAGCAACCGAGCTGATGGGACTTGCCACGTCACCACAGCCAGCTTGGATGGGGAGTCAAGCCATAAGGTACCACGCCTTACCTGTGCAGTTCCCATGCTGTATCTTGTGTGAGAGCCCCACTGTGCGCCTCACGTGTGTGAGAGCCCCACTGTGTGCCTTGCATGTGTGCGTGTGTGTGTGTGTGTAAACAGACCTACTGTTGATCTCGTGTGTGTGAGAGTCCCATTGTGCGCCTCACGTGTAAGCAGCCCTACTGTGGGCCTCTCATGTGTGTATGTGTGAGCAGCCCTACTGTGGGCCTTGTGTGCGTGTGAGCAGTCCTACTGTGGGCCTCGTGTGTGTGTGTGTGTGTGTGTGAGAGAGAGAGAGCCTCCCTCCGGTTCATCTCAGCCCCAGGTGAGCCTGAGCCCCGTGCTGCCACGCTATGCAGGTGCCAGCACCAGGGCGGCACTCTCTGTCCGTGTTGTTGCAGACTCACTACGCTGTCCAGGACACCAAGGGGTTCCACACGGAGGAGGAGATTGGGGGGCTGCAAGCCACCATCGAGTGTGAACAGCCGCAGCCTGACCTCTACAAGTAAGGGGGCCTGGGAGCTCAGGCCATTGCCATGTGATCCTCCTTCATCCTGGCACATGGATGTGTGGTTGGGCACAAGCCTGCTGCCCTGGAGACTGAGTCAGGGACCTATAGCAGCCCCCCCAGCCTCTGCCCCAGTAGGCCGAGTCGGGGACCTATAGCAGGGCCCCCCCAGCCTCTGCCCCAGGAGGCCGAGTCAGAGACCTATGGCAGGCCCCCCCAGCCTCTGCCCCAGTAGGCCGAGTCAGAGACCTATAGCAGGCCCCCCACCAGCCTGCTGCCCCAGGAGGCCGAGTCGGGGACCAGCAGCCAGTGCTTTAGGCCTGTTGTGTAGTTTGTGCACTTGGTGGGCTGCAGGTGGAGGGCATTGGTACAGAAGCTGGTTAAACTTTGACGTGTCGCTCTCAATTCAAAGGCGCCATCCGAGCCGGCTGCTTGGGACGGGGGTCCCCAAGGGGCCGAGTGGGACGTGCTGGACGTGGGCGTTGGGGTTGGGTGTGGGCGCCACCAGGTGACATGCCTCTCTGCCAGGTTTGTGGGCCGCATCAACATCTACAATGACCTCAATGACCCCGTGGTGAGGTGAGTGCTCACACCCTCAGCCGCCTGCCTGGGGCCCAGGGTCCCGTCCACCGTGACAGGCATGGGTTCAGGGTGAGTACGGGTGTGCACACATTAGCCAGTCCTGATGCTTGTAGTAAACGTGTTTTCAAAGGGGCAGTGTGTGGGTGTGACACAGGGGTTACAGCGGGATTCCCAGGCCCAGGACGCCTGCTTGTCCTCACATGGACAAGCAGCACAGGCCCTCCTGGGAGGCCCTGCCTCAACCAGGCCCAGCTGGGCAGTGGCCCATGTGTGGGCACAGGCACACCCACCTGTGAGCACCTGTCCCCCGCCCACTTGTGGCATTCTCATTGGCTCACTCGGACCCGGTCAGTAGGTCTGTCCCACCTTTCTGGGTCTGCCCGCCACCCCCTCTTCCTGCTGATCCTGATCCCCCACCCCTCGTCCTCACAGGCCACTGGGATCGGAGAATCTGCTTCTCAGAGGAGCCACGCTAAAGAACACTGAGAAAATCTTTGGTAGGAATCTGATTGGGGGTTGGATCTGAGTCCTGCAGCTGCCTGAAGCCAGGCTCAGCTGTGGGGTGGCAGCCTGTTCCCGGCTTGGCTGCACGGCCGTGGCCTGTCCCCAGCTCGGCTGCACAGCTGTGGCCTGCCTCTGGCTCAGCTGCGTGGTGGCGACCTGTCCCAGTCTCTGCTCGCAGGTCTTGGGCCACCTGGGGCAGGGGGCAGGGGCAGCTCAGAACAGCCATGAGTCGGGTGCTAGGGTGCAGCATGAGCATCAGACACTGTGCCCAGGGAAGGTCCTTTCTTTGCTGGTCCCTGCCCTTTGAGGTGGGTCATAGATGACAGACATGCAGGTGTCCCACCGAGAGCCCCCCTAGTGAAACAGCCACTTGATGAGCAGGCTCCAATCAGGGTTCTGGAGGCCAGTTGAAGTCCACTCTGATTCCCTAACCAAGACCCATTCCCCCACCACCATGAGTGACCCCCAGGATGGGCACAGCACCTGCCTCGTCCTCATGGCACGCCTTCTGCTCCGCAGGTGTTGCCATTTACACTGGCATGGAGACCAAGATGGCTCTGAACTACCAGTCCAAGTCCCAGAAGAGGTCTGCAGTGGAGAAGTAAGGCCCAGGCCAGCTTTTGTTTCCAAGCCCTTGGCTGACATGTCACCTCCTTCTAGTGGACAGACCAGTAGCTTCCAGAGAATTTAGCAAGGAGCAAGGCCCATGGCTTTATGGGAGTGGATTCCCGGCCACACTGAGCAAGCATGGTCATGGACCTCGGGCCAGCTGGGGCAGGGACAACTGTAACAGGACTTGATCCAGTGTGTCTATGCCCGCCAGGTTACAGGGACAGACTATGAAACCTCCACAAGTGTGGAAGCCCCAAACTCCTGCGCAAGCCTGTGACTCTGACCCCTAGTCGAGGCCAAAGTCTGGGAGCCCTGAGCCCAGCCCCGTGTTGGGAAGCCCTGAGCCCAGGCTGGCCTCTTCCTGCTGAGGGCACCTCCTTTGCATAGCAGCCGTGCCACCCTGTAGCTGGTGTGACTCTGGTTGTCCCGAGGTGGTCAGGGGACCTGATACTTGGGGTCCTTGCCAGCCCTCACATGGTGACCACCCTCTCGGTCCTGTTCCCTGCAACCTGTGAGTGCATTTGCACATGGACACACGTGGGTGTGTGTCTGCCTTCCTACCACAGCAGCTTGTGCACGTGCTGTAGGCATACCCCTCCTGTGACAGGGAAGAAGGGACTGTAGGCTCCTGGTGGCCAGGTACTGGCGCAGTCCTCCCACGACCCCTCGTTGCAGGTCCATGAACGTGTTCCTCGTTGTGTACCTGTGCATCCTCATCAGCAAGGCGCTCATCAACACGGTGCTCAAGTATGTGTGGCAGAGTGCACCCTTCCGCGACGAGCCCTGGTACAACCAGAAGACTGAGGCCGAGCGCCAGAGGAATCTGGTAGGAAGAGCCACCTGCTGGGTACCATTTGCAGTTGGGTGGAGGGTGGAGCAAGGGAGCCATGATTTACTAACACTTAGTGATCGCAGAGCACATGCTGGAGTGCTCAGCATGCCTGGCTGCTCTCCCAGCACAGGCTCTCGTGAGATGGCACCTTACACACCTGCTCACAGGGGTCCTCAGTGCCAGTTGTTGACTTTGTAATAATTCAAGGGAAAAAGCCACATGTAGGGCCCTCAGAGACACCTGTGTCTGCAGAGGGCACTGTGCCCAGGCCCTGACCATGTCATGTAGCCTGCAGAGGGCACTGTGCCCAGGCCCTGATTTCTCATCCTATGTAGCCTGCAGAGGGCGCTGTGCCCAGGCCCTAACCATGTCATGTAGCCTGCAGAGGGCACTGTGCCCAGGCCCTGATTTCTCATCCTATGTAGCCTGCAGAGGGTGCTGTGCCCAGGCCCTGACCTCACAGCCTCATGTGGCCTGCAGAGGGTGCTGTGCCCAGGCCCTGACCATGTCATGTGGCCTGCAGAGGGCACTGTGCCCAGGCCCTGACCTCACACTCTCATGTTGCCTGTAGAAGGCATTGTGCCCAGGCCCTGACCATGTCATGTAGCCTGCAGAGGGCACTGTGCCCAGGCCCTGACCTCACAGCCTCATGTGGCCTGCAGAGGGTGCTGTGCCCAAGCCCTGACCATGTCATGTGGCCTGCAGAGGGCGCTGTGCCCAGGCCCCGACCTCACAGCCTCATGTGGCCTGCAGAGGGCGCTGTGCTCAGGCCCTGACCTCACACACGCCTTTGCTGCAGGCGCTGACCTTCTTCTGTCCCAGTTCCTCAGGGCCTTCACCGACTTCCTGGCCTTCATGGTCCTCTTCAACTACATCATCCCGGTGTCCATGTACGTCACAGTAGAGATGCAGAAGTTCCTCGGGTCCTACTTCATCACCTGGGATGAGGACATGTTTGACGAGGAGACAGGCGAAGGGCCTCTGGTGAACACGTCTGATCTCAACGAAGAACTGGGGCAGGTGTGTACCCGAGGCCTCTCGTGGTTTACTGACACCTGCACCCACACCGTCTGTCCAGGTGTCAGGGTTCCACGAGATACGTGCCGTGTATCTAGGTCCCCCAGGGATCAGTCCAGTGGCTTGAGGAGTCACTGGAAGTTTTCCCAACGTGACTGTTAGGTGACAGGCAGGAGCAAACATCAGCGCTGCTGTGTGGTCTGTTTTTGGCTGGTTTATGGGAACTGGTCCACAGGTGTTCTCAGTGGAGGAGGGGCCAATATGGAAATGCCAGCCACCATGTTAAGTGCCAACTGCACAGGCTCTGTGCCCTGTCCCAGGCCATGATGGGGTGTCCCCGCAGCGGACGGGCTGGCCTGGCAGTGACAGGGTATCCCCGCAGTGGACGGGCCGGTCTGGCAGTGACGGGGTATCCCTGTAGTGGATGGGCTGACCTGGCAGTGACGGGGTGTCCCCACAGTGGATGGGCTGACCTGGCAGTGACGGGGTGTCCCCACAGTGGATGAGCTGACCTGGCAGTGACGGGGTGTCCCTGTAGTGGATGGGCCAGTCTGGCAGTGAAGGGGTGTCCCCACAGTGGATGGGCCAGTCTGGCAGTGAAGGGGTGTCCCTACAGTGGATGGGCCAGTCTGGCAGTGAAGGGGTATCCCCACAGTGGACGGGCCGGTCTGGCAGTGACGGGGTATCCCTGTAGTGGATGGGCTGACCTGGCAGTGACGGGGTGTCCCCACAGTGGATGAGCTGACCTGGCAGTGACGGGGTGTCCCTGTAGTGGATGGGCTGACCTGGCAGTGACGGGGTGTCCCCACAGTGGATGAGCTGACCTGGCAGTGACGGGGTCTCCCCACAGTGGATGGGCCAGTCTGGCAGTGAAGGGGTGTCCCCACAGTGGACGGGCCGGTCTGGCAGTGACGGGGTATCCCTGTAGTGGATGGGCTGACCTGGCAGTGACGGGGTGTCCCCACAGTGGATGGGCTGACCTGGCAGTGACGGGGTATCCCTGTAGTGGATGGGCTGACCTGGCAGTGACGGGGTGTCCCCACAGTGGATGGGCTGACCTGGCAGTGACGGGGTGTCCCCACAGTGGATGGGCCAGTCTGGCAGTGAAGGGGTGTCCCCACAGTGGATGGGCTGACCTGGCAGTGACGGGGTGTCCCCACAGTGGATGAGCTGACCTGGCAGTGACGGGGTATCCCTGTAGTGGATGGGCTGACCTGGCAGTGACGGGGTGTCCCCACAGTGGATGGGCTGACCTGGCAGTGACGGGGTGTCCCCACAGTGGATGGGCCAGTCTGGCAGTGAAGGGGTGTCCCCACAGTGGATGGGCTGGCCTGGTTTTGAGGAGGTGCAGGCCTGGACTTGGTAAGAGTTTTGAGGACATGGTGTGTGGCGAGTTCAGAATGCTGCAGGCAGTCCCCGCCCTGCAGTGACTGGCGTGCGTTCTGGCAGGCCACCTCATTGCCACAGCACATCCTCATCTGTGAAATGGGGTGATGGGGGGCAGATGAAGAGGGAGTGGACAGTGGACAGCCTTCACAGCATCTGGGAGTGACTGCCTCATCTGTGTGCAGCCCGTCCTGGCCCAGGAAAGGCAGGTCGCTTGGCATCTGAGCCTAAGGGGCCTTCCTGCTGTTCCCAGCCCATGTCTGCAGGTAGAGCCATTCACAATGGAAGGGGCAGGGCTGTGACTCCCACTGCAATGGCAAACAGGGTCGAGCTCAGCGGGGCAGGGGTGAGGAATGGAGGGTGTCCCACAGATGGGATAGTGGGAACATCCCCCGGTGTTCCTGACAAAAATCCTGAGGACAGGCCGCAGTGGAGCTTAGGAGCGGGTGGAGGACCCAGAGTGGGGGTGCTGTCCACACCGGCCCTGAGACGTCCAAGGCCCCCTCGCTCCCCAGGCCTCAGTTTGCTTGTGTGAGCAGCTGGTGTGAGCTGCAGCAGAGGAAGGGGTAGGAGGGTGACAGCTGGGGGTGCATCATCCAGGCCCTCATTGCTTAGCTGCAGCTGGGCAGGCCACTCGGCTGCTCAGCCCCTGCTGTTCCTCTGTCAGATCCAGAGGTCTGTGGGAAGCAGGGGCCACCTGGCAGGTGCAGGTTATTGCCGACCATCACGGATGCAGGTGCAGCCCTCCCCAGGGCCACCCTGGGAGGCTGGTGAACAGACACCCGGATGGCAGGGATTGGGACTGACTGATCAAGTCGTGCACCTATAGTTCATTTGTTGGAACCAAGCCCTCCACGGAGTGGCAGATCCTACCACAGGTTTCCAAGAACATGTTCCTGCAAGGCACAGAAAGGGGGGATGCAGGCTGGGCTTCCCTCTGCTGCTGACCCTGTGTGCCCTGACTTCACCTCCCACTCACCTGCCTCTCCTAAGACTGGGTGTTGGGGGCAGACTGGCCCCCATGTCCTGTGGCATGGAGAGCTTTGAGGTCCAGGACGTCACCAGGAGTCTGTCCTCTCCTGGCCTTTGATCGCAGGACCTTGTGCCGTCCATCTGAATGGAGGAAGCCCCAGCTCCACCAAGAGGTGCCAGATGTGGGGCCAGGGCACAGCGGCCGCTGCTTTCCCTCTCATGTCCAAGGTGTGTGCTGCCCGCAGGTGGAGTATGTGTTCACAGACAAGACAGGCACACTCACGGAGAACAATATGGAATTCAAGGAGTGCTGCGTCGAGGGCCATGTCTATGTCCCCCATGTCATCTGCAATGGACAGGTGCTACCCGACTCCTCAGGGATCGAGATGATTGATTCCTCCCCCAGTGGCAGCGGCCGGGTGAGTGACGGGCACCCCACTGGGTGGCGCCGGCTGCATTTGTAATGCCCACGTATGCGACTGCAAGCTTAATTCACAAGTAGAGGGATCCCATGTGGGCTTTGCTGAGAGACTGAGTCAGCTGCCCTTCAGAGGGGAGCCTGAGAGATCTAGACCAAAAGAGCAGAGTGAGCATACAGCATGTGTGTAAACCCAGTCAGCTCCCACACACAGCACATGCAAACATGCACGCTTACACTCCCATACACCCAGGAGCACACCCACACGCTTACACCCACACACGCCCAGGAGCACATCACACGCTTACACTCCCACACACCCAGGAGCACACCACACGCTTACACTCCCACATGCCCAGGAGCACATCACACGCTTACACTCCCACATGCCCAGGAGCACATCACACACTTACACTCCCATACACCCAGGAGCACACCCACACGCTTACACTCCCACATGCCCAGGAGCACACCCACACGCTTACACCCACACACGCCCAGGAGCATACCTACAGACTTATACTCCCACATGCCCAGGAGCACACCCACACACTTACACTCCCATACACCCAGGAGCACACCCACACGCTTACACCCACACACGCCCAGGAGCATACCTACAGACTTATACTCCCACATGCCCAGGAGCACACCCACACACTTACACTCCCATACACCCAGGAGCACACCCACACGCTTACACTCCCACATGCCCAGGAGCACATCACACGCTTACACCCACACATGCCCAGGAGCACATCACACGCTTACACCCACACACGCCCAGGATCACATCACACGCTTACACTCCCATATACCCAGGAGCACATCACACACTTACACTCCCACATGCCCAGGAGCACATCACACGCTTACACCCACACACGCCCAGGAGCACATCACACGCTTACACTCCCACATGCCCAGGAGCACATCACACGCTTACACTCCCACATGCCCAGGAGCACATCACACGCTTACACTCCCACATGCCCAGGAGCACATCACACACTTACACTCCCATACACCCAGGAGCACATCACACGCTTACACTCCCACACACCCAGGAGCACATCACATGCTTACACTCCCACATGCCCAGGAGCACATCACACGCTTACACTCCCACATGCCCAGGAGCACATCACACGCTTACACCCACACACGCCCAGGAGCACATCACACGCTTACACCCACACACGCCCAGGAGCACATCATACGCTTACACTCCCACACACCCAGGAGCACATCACACGCTTACACTCCCACATGCCCAGGAGCACATCACACGCTTACACCCACACACGCCCAGGAGCACATCACACACTTACACTCCCACATGCCCAGGATCACATCACACGCTTACACTCCCACATGCCCAGGAGCACATCACACGCTTACACTCCCATACACCCAGGAGCACATCACACGCTTACACCCACACACGCCCAGGAGCACATCACACACTTACACTCCCACATGCCCAGGATCACATCACACGCTTACACTCCCACATGCCCAGGAGCACATCACACGCTTACACTCCCACATGCCCAGGAGCACATCACACACTTACACTCCCACATGCCCAGGAGCACATCACACGCTTACACCCACACATGCCCAGGAGCACATCACACGCTTACACCCACACACGCCCAGGAGCACATCACACGCTTACACCCACACACGCCCAGGAGCACATCACACGCTTACACTCCCACATGCCCAGGAGCACATCACACGCTTACACTCCCACATGCCCAGGAGCACATCACACGCTTACACCCAGACACGCCCAGGAGCACATCACACGCTTACACTCCCACATGCCCAGGAGCACATCACACGCTTACACCCACACACGCCCAGGAGCACATCACACACTTACACTCCCACATGCCCAGGATCACATCACACGCTTACACTCCCACATGCCCAGGAGCACATCACACGCTTACACTCCCATACACCCAGGAGCACATCACACGCTTACACCCACACACGCCCAGGAGCACATCACACACTTACACTCCCACATGCCCAGGATCACATCACACGCTTACACTCCCACATGCCCAGGAGCACATCACACGCTTACACTCCCACATGCCCAGGAGCACATCACACACTTACACTCCCACATGCCCAGGAGCACATCACACGCTTACACCCACACATGCCCAGGAGCACATCACACGCTTACACCCACACACGCCCAGGAGCACATCACATGCTTACACCCACACACGCCCAGGAGCACATCACACGCTTACACTCCCACATGCCCAGGAGCACATCACACGCTTACACTCCCACATGCCCAGGAGCACATCACACGCTTACACTCCCACATGCCCAGGAGCACATCACACGCTTACACCCACACACGCCCAGGAGCACATCACACGCTTACACTCCCACATGCCCAGGAGCACATCACACTTACACTCCCACATGCCCAGGAGCACATCACACACTTACACTCCCACATGCCCAGGAGCACATCACATGCTTACACTCCCACATGCCCAGGAGCACATCACACGCTTACACCCACACACGCCCAGGAGCACATCACACGCTTACACTCCCACATGCCCAGGAGCACATCACACGCTTACACCCACACACGCCCAGGAGCACATCACACGCTTACACTCCCACATGCCCAGGAGCACATCACACGCTTACACCCACACACGCCCAGGAGCACATCACACGCTTACACTCCCACACGCCCAGGAGCACATCACACGCTCACACACTCCCACACACGCCCAGGAGCACATCACACGCTTACACTCCCACATGCCCAGGAGCACATCACACGCTTACACTCCCATACACCCAGGAGCACATCACACGCTTACACTCCCACACGCCCAGGAGCACATCACACGCTTACACTCCCACATGCCCAGGAGCACATCACACGCTTACACCCACACACGCCCAGGAGCACATCACACGCTTACACTCCCACATGCCCAGGAGCACATCACACGCTTACACTCCCACACACCCAGGATCACACATAGGACACACAAAGACACATGCTCACACGAGCATCACTCTCCCTGCTAAATGCTGATGTCTGTAGCTGCAGTGCTGCTGAAGGGACCTGCCTGAGAGTTGGTTTGCAGGTGAAGTGTGGCATTGTTGGTCTGTGGCAGGTGCTCTGCATGCCATGTGGGCCATCGTGGGGTGAATGTAGCCATCTGCAGGGCCAGGGCACAGGCCAACCGAGCCAGGGAGGCTCAGGAGCACGTGTGCTGACCTGACTGCTTGGCATGGCGCTGTCCCTCTTGGCATCTGCCTCAGCCACCCACAGTTCTTCGTCCTCATTTGCTGCATGAGATACCAGGCTGTCCCTGCTCTCCATGGTCACTGCAGGCAGAGGCGTGGACATCTGTCCTGGGCTGTGCCGTTTCAGGAGCGAGAGGAGTTGTTCTTCCGGGCTCTCTGCCTGTGCCACACTGTCCAGGTGAAGGACGACGATGATGTGGATGGGCCCAGGAAGTCACCAGACTCGGGGAAGTCCTGCGTGTACATCTCATCGTCGCCCGACGAGGTGGCACTGGTGGAGGGAGTACAGAGGTGTGTGTCACTGTCGGGGTGGGGCTAGTCCAGCAGCCTTGGGGCATCTATTCCCAGCCCCGTGGTAGCTGCGTCTTGGAAGCCACATCCGTGCCCACCACGGTGCTCATGACCCCTGTACCGCTGGCAGTGACATACGGCATTCCATTGGTGCCAGGTCTCACTCCCTTCTCCCCTGCCTGACCCCAAAGTGAGCAAGGCTGGGCAGAGGAGAGCAGGGTGTGGACGGCAGAACCGTCTGCCATTGTCTGCACAGTTGTCTCCTCGTGTGTAAGGAAATGCATGCCCTTGGGAGCCACGTGGTCAGGGCAGTCCAGGTGCCTCCCGTGGCCTCCTTGCGCTGTGTCTAGTGAGAGCACAGCTCGGCAGGCACCTCAAGGTCCTTGTGTCGGGTGTCTTGCCCGTGTGTGGCAGGTGCACCAAGAGCTGGGAGCACTTGCACTGTCAAGCTGGAGCAGAGCTGTGCACTTATGTGACCCTCCACCTCTCTTAGGGAGCTGTGTGCCCCAGGGGACCCCACTTCTCAGCTGTGTGCCCCAGGGGACCCCACCTCTCAGCTGTGTGTCCCAGGGGAACCCCCATGTGCCTGGGGACCTTGTCATACCAATGCTGCATCCTACACAGCTGGCTGTACAGACAGACGGTATCCCTGTGGTCAGCTGACATGTTCTAGAAGCTGGTTCTGTAGTTACAGAAGCTGCTGTCTGTGACCACAGCTGAGGCCCACAGCCTTGGTGGACACTGGGCTCAAAGCCTGTTCTAAGAGCAGGGACAGCCCCACCCCCACCTTGACAGCTTCCCGACTTCAGCATGTGGTTCACAACCTGTTTGTCACGCTGGCTGTGTCTCACCAAGTGAGAGACGCCCTGTCCCCGGGCCGCAAGGCCGGGGCTGACCGGGCCCGCTCCTCTGCAGGCTTGGCTTCACGTACCTGAGGCTGAAGGACAACTACATGGAGCTGCTCAACAGGGAGAGTGACATCGAGAGGTGAGCGCTGGCACGTGACTGGGACCCAGCTTCTTCCCCAGCACAGCCCTGACAGGCCGTGGAATGCTCTGGAAGTCTTTAACTCTTGCCAGTTACAGCCTCAGGTGTGCCGTGGGATGTTCTGGAAATGTTAGATTGAAGTGGAAGCAGGGGGAGCAGGACTCCCACAAGGACGGGACCTTTTCCTTTAGCAACACACACTGATGTACAAGGAGAAAAAATTCATCTGATAATTTCATCCAAAATTGAGCTCTTGTCTGGGTTTCAGTGCAGGCGCTCTCCAGGCTTGTAGTATGTTGCAGCCTCTGTGAGAGGACAGTGAGCAGACTTCATGGCCTGGATGCCCGTAGGGCCTGCGGCACAGGCAGCACCCAGCACTGCAGGGCCAGGCTGGCCTTGGCTGCCCTGTCCTGCTCTTGGCAGCTGCATGTCTGGCTCACAGCCCCTCGCAGTGAGCAGGGAAGCAAGGCCAGGTGAGGGCGGGTGAGGAGTGCAGTGTTGGGCCTCACGGGCACTCACTGGGCTTCATAAGAAACTTAAAATAGCTCAGGGATGCCATGGGAGTGCTGAGCTGTTCCCTGCATTGCCAGTACCACGCAGCCTGGCGAGCGTGTGGGAGTGAGCCTGGGGCACTGGTCCCAGGATGGGCATGTGTGCTGTGCCGTGCTCACACTGACCAGTCCCCGCAGGGTGCCTGACCACAACCTGTGTTGGCAGCATGGGGACACAGGTGGGAAGGGATTGTCATTTTTCTTTTTCAGGTTCGAGTTGCTGGAAGTTTTGAGTTTTGACTCCGTGAGGAGGCGGATGAGTGTGATTGTGAAATCTGCCACAGGTAGTTGTCTTTTTGGACCCTGCGCCGTGCCCGGCCATGGTGGTTGCTTTGTCTAATGGTGAGGTCCAGGCTCCTGGCCCTGAGAGCGTGCGTTCTGATTGGCAGCCCAAATTCCTTCTCCAAGTTTGTCATGGCACACTGGCTGGGGACTGTGCTTCTTATCACGTGTCCCCACCATGTGATATGGCTCCCGTGGGCCCCTGCTCCGTGCCATGGCTTCAGAAAAGGCAACCAGGGTTTGTCAACTGCCCCGGTCAGATGGAGGACACAAAGCCATGGATCTTGTCGGTCATCAGATGGCCATAACAGCTTGTCCCCACTAAGAATGACAAACCTGGAGCTTTGCGCTCAAAGCCGTGCACCCAGGACGTCATGGCAGGGCACACTGGGTGAGTGCTCTGGCCACGGCCAGGCCCTGCCCTGCCCAGCAGACACCACAAGGGCCACCTTGACCCGTCTGGCTGGGCCTGCAGACACCTCTCCAGGTGGCACCTGCTCACTTGCACCCAACACCTGGTTCTTTGCGCAAACACCTGGTCACGGAGTCAGGCAGCAGCTCTGTCCAGCGCTTCCTGAGGCCCCAGCTGCCCTCTCAGCCTTCAGCATCAAGGCTGCCTAGGCCACCTGAGGAGGTTGTGTAGTGTACCCCATGGCATTCCCAGGGGCCTGTCCCGCTGCACATGGGAGGGGCACCCTTTGCAGGTTGAGGGAGAGGTCACAGTCATTACCTTGACCAGGACTCTCCATCCCTGTCCTGGGCCCTGCAGGAGTGCTGAGCCCGCTCCTCCCAGCCCCAGTGCAGCTGCGAGCTCCCGGCTTAGAAAAGGAGCAACTTGTACTTCAGCTTGCTGGTCCACCTTCTAGCTCCTGCAAAGCCCCGCCTCCTGACACAGCCTGCTAGGGCAGCTCATGCCAGGCATGGTTTGTCCCCATGGGCAGTTGCAGGGCAAAGCACAGTGATGTCTCCATGGTAACCCTTGTCTGTCTCCACTCACCCAGGGACTGAGAGCATGTAGGAACTGCACATGTGTGTTTGGGCTCCACTCAGGGACCGTGCTCAGACCAGTTCCTGATGCCATGAGGGCGCACAGGGCAGCCTGGGGCTGTGTGCGGGAGGGCACCTTGACCCTGTGCCTGGGCGCTGTGCCCAGGGGAGTTGGCCATGCACCAGGGCTCCATCACCCTTCTCTCTCGAGACAGGCGGAAGTGGAGTGCGGGGTTATGGCAGGCTCCAGGGCCGGCTGACTCCAGTCTCCGCTAATGATTCAGGTGCTGCAGTGGCCCAGCATCTGATTGCTGGCTTGTTTGTTTTAACAATAGCATAATGTGGAAAATCGGCATCCCTGGAGGTGAGTAAATCACACCTAATTGTTGTACAGGAGAAATTTACCTTTTCTGCAAGGGAGCAGACTCTTCCATATTTCCCAGAGTTATTGAAGGCAAAGTGGAGCAGATCCGGGCCAGGGTGGAGCGGAACGCAGTGGTGAGTCACGGGGGTGGCAGGGCGGGTGCTGTGGGTGGCCCCGTTCTCCGTGTGAGGAAGGCCCCTGTGGGTGTGTCCCGTGGGTGGCCCCATCCTCCGTGTGAGGATGGAGCCCACGTGTTCTGACATTCTGGCCGCAGTGGCTGCCTCAATCCCTCAGGATGTCTGTAGCATCCTGGACAGGTGGCGGGAACACACTGGAAGGCCCCTCTGGGTCTGCAGCCTAGGGACACCCCAGCAGGACATCTGAGCAGGGACCCCTCTGCACGTTCTGCAGGAGGGACTGCGGACGCTGTGTGTTGCCTACAAGAGGCTCACCCCGGAGGAGTATGAGGGCGTGTGCAGGCTGCTCCAGGCCGCCAAGGTGGCGCTGCAGGACCGGGAGAAGAAGCTGGCGGAAGCCTACGAGCAGATAGAAAGAGACCTGGTTCTGCTTGGGGCCACCGCGGTGGAGGACCGGTAAGGTTCCCGGTGACAGGGACGACACCGTGTCGCGGAGATGATGCCGCCTGTGCTGAGTGGGCCGCCGTGTGCTTTTCTGCTTGGTCCCGTTTCTCTCTGACGGCTAAAACATTTTACCCACAACAGAGTAGCAGGTCAGACACCAAATGCCCAGGAAGTAGCCAGCCCCATGGGAGCCCAGGTCCAGCCCTGGCCTTGGTGGGCCCCGGAAGTGGGCTGCAGGATCGGGTTCCATGTTGGTGCTCATGCCAGCCCAGTGCCCTCCTCCGCCGACATCTGCCCGAGGCATTTGGCTTGTACCTTCACAGGCTGCAGGAGAAAGCGGCCGACACCATCGAGGCGCTGCAGAAAGCGGGGATCAAGGTGTGGGTCCTCACTGGGGACAAGATGGAGACGGCGGCCGCCACCTGCTATGCCTGCAAGCTGTTCCGGAGGAACACGCAGCTGCTGGAGCTGACCACCAAGAAGATGGAGGAGCAGAGCCTGCATGATGTGCTGTTCGAGCTGAGCAAGACGGTGCTGCGCCACAGCGGCAGCCTCACCAGGGACCCTCTGTCCAGGTGGGCACCCCCGCTGGGGGCTGAGCACCCTGGCTCCGCCTTCTCACCCGACAGTCACCGCGGGACTGATGGGCGGATCAGAGCTGGGGGAGGAGCCAGGAGGTGTTGCTCTTGCAGGGCTGTGTGTACAGACAGAGCAAGCCATGTACTAATAAACCCCCCACTTCCTTGGTCCCTGGACACACGTGTGTGTGTCCTGCTATGAGAGTGCATGGGACAGAGGTGTACCCCTGTGTCCCGGGCCCCTGCAGGGACCCAGAGCTGCACAAGGAGTGGTGACTGAGGGCCGTCTTCCCCTCCCGTATCACCCTACAGCCTCTCGGCGGACGTGCAGGACTACGGGCTGATCATCGACGGGGCAGCACTGTCCATGGTGATGAAGCCACGGGAGGAAGGCAGCAGCAGCAACTACCGCGAGCTCTTCCTGGAGATCTGTCGTAACTGCAGCGCCGTGCTGTGCTGCCGCATGGCGCCCCTGCAGAAGGCTCAGGTCGGCCCCGGCTCTGCCCCACACACCCCTGCCACGGTCTGTAAAGGTCTGGCGAGTGACCCCTGGAAGGTAGACACCAAGGCAGGCGAGCTGTCCACCCTGAGCAGAGGCCCTGTCAGCAAGTGCCCCTGGCTCAGGAACCCAGCAGCCTCTGTGAGGTGACGCTCTAGGTGGGAGATGAAGGCAGGCAGAAGGGCCACCCATGGGCGCCAGGGCTTTCTGCCTGAGCACGTCAGGTGGGCACGTCTCCTTACATGCCCAGAGGGGTGTCCCTACAATACGCAGTCAGAGTCATGCCCACCAGCGTGTGTCTGCAGGGACACACCTGAGAGCCCAGGGTCTTGGAGCAGCCTTGTGGGATATGTGAGGAGTCCTTCTGATGTCCACAAGCCTAGCACAGCCCTCGCTGGCTGGATGGCGGTCCCAGGGTCCCTGTGTCCAGATTCCCGCTGGCTTGGGGGGCCACAAGTCACTGCATCGCCCTCACCCTGACAGGGAGCCGCCGACACCCTCCCGGGGCCACTCCTCACTGGAGCTACCAGACTTTGATGCACAGGACAGATGAAAGATTAAAGCACTGTTCCACGTCAGCACCATAAACCGGGCTTTAAAGGGGCATTTGGAACAGCTGAGAAGCAGCTGCTCCTGAACCCTCGCTCGGTGTGTGGGAGCCGCTGGTGCTGAGCTCGGCTGGCTTTCTGCTGGATGGGGCCCGCACAGAGCAGGGAGTGAGGGTTGACGCGCTGTAAGCCGCCGAGCCCTTTGGCCTGCCCGGTGCAGGAGCCTGGAGCGAAGGTGGGGGAGGACGACTGTGCCTTTGCTTCCTTTTCAGATTGTGAAGTTAATCAAATTTTCAAAAGAGCACCCCATCACCTTAGCCATCGGTGACGGCGCGAATGATGTCAGCATGATTCTGGAGGCCCACGTGGGCATAGGTGAGCCATCCGCCCACCGGCCACCTCCATGGGGTCCGGCAGGTGGTGACTGGTCCCCTCGGTGGGCATAGGTGAGCCATCCGCCCACCCGGCCACCTCCATGGGGTCCGGCAGGTGGTGACTGGTCCCCTCGAGCCTACAGTCCGTTGGGACCCCCGTTCCAGGTGTGATTGGGAAGGAAGGCCGCCAGGCCGCCAGGAACAGTGACTATGCGATCCCCAAGTTCAAGCACCTCAAGAAGATGCTGCTGGTCCACGGGCACTTCTACTATATCCGCATCTCGGAGCTTGTGCAGTACTTCTTCTACAAGGTACTGATACTGGGGCCGGCGCCCCAGGGGAGGGACCTGGCCGGCCCGCGACCCGGCACCCCAGGGGAGGGACCCCACCAGGCCTGCGACCCGGCACCCCAGGGGAGGGACCCAGCCGGCCCACGACCCGGCACCCCAGGGGAGGGACCCCACCAGGCCTGCGACCCGGCACCCCAGGGGAGGGACCTGGCCGGCCCGCGACCCGGCACCCCAGGGGAGGGACCCAGCCGGCCCACGACCCGGCACCCCAGGGAGGGACCCCACCAGGCCCGCGACCCGGCACCCCAGGGGAGGGACCCCACCAGGCCCGCGACCCGGCACCCCAGGGGAGGGACCCCACCAGGCCCGCGACCCGGCACCCCAGGGGAGGGACCCAGCCGGCCCATGACCCGGCACCCCAGGGAGGGACCCCACCAGGCCTGCGACCCAGCACCCCAGGGGAGGGACCCCACCAGGCCTGCGACCCGGCACCCCAGGGGAGGGACCCAGCCGGCCCACGACCCGGCACCCCAGGGGAGGGACCCCACCAGGCCTGCGACCCGGCACCCCAGGGGAGGGACCTGGCCGGCCCGCGACCCGGCACCCCAGGGGAGGGACCCAGCCGGCCCACGACCCGGCACCCCAGGGAGGGACCCCACCAGGCCCGCGACCCGGCACCCCAGGGGAGGGACCCCACCAGGCCCGCGACCCGGCACCCCAGGGGAGGGACCCCACCAGGCCCGCGACCCGGCACCCCAGGGGAGGGACCCAGCCGGCCCATGACCCGGCACCCCAGGGAGGGACCCCACCAGGCCTGCGACCCGGCACCCCAGGGGAGGGACCCCACCAGGCCCGCGACCCGGCACCCCAGGGGAGGGACCCCACCAGGCCCGCGACCCGGCACCCCAGGGGAGGGACCCAGCTGGCCCACGACCCGGCACCCCAGGGGAGGGACCCGGCCGGCCCGCGACCTGGCACCCCAAGGGAGGGACCCCACCAGGCCCGCGACCCGGCACCAGGGGAGGGACCCCACCAGGCCCGCGACCCGACATCCCAGGGGAGGGACCTGGCCGGCCCACGACCCGGCACCCCATGGGAGGGACCCCACCAGGCCCACGGACCCAGCACCCCATGGGAGGGACCCCGCCGGCTCGCAGCCCAGCACCCCAGGGGAGAGTGCGCCGCTTACAGCACCACCCTGCACGGGCAGTGCTTGAGACCTGGCGTGCCTGCATGATTCTGGGCTCCATCTGGGCCATGTCTCTCTGAGAGCAGCTGCCCCATCTCGGCCCCAGTGCAGCCCCCATGGCTCACTCAGTCCATCTGAGCCACTCCCCAGGGTTGGGGTGCATCTGGGGTGGAGCCTTGTGAGTTCACATCGGTCCTTGTTTTGCAGAATGTCTGTTTCATCTTCCCTCAGTTTCTGTATCAGTTCTTCTGTGGCTTTTCACAGCAGGTGAGTGTGGGGTCGGCTCCACATCCAGACCTGTAAATAAATCCTGGGGGCAGCCAGCAGGGTGCTGCTGAGGGTACGGCCCCGAGATGCCTGTCAGACATGGGCTGAAGGGTGGCAAAACCAGGAGCCCACCTCCCCGGGGCCGGCAGCACCCTGGAGGTGCTGTCTCCTCTGACCCCGTGTGACCCCGTGCTCTCCCTGCAGACCCTGTACGACACTGCGTATCTGACCCTGTACAACATCACCTTCACGTCGCTCCCCATCCTCCTCTACAGCCTCATGGAGCAACATGTCAGTGCTGACGCTCTCAAGAGGGACCCGACGCTCTACAGGTGTCGTGCACGTGTTGCACAGGCTTTCCCTAGCTGTGGTTGTCGCTCTCACTGTCCTCACGGCTGCCTTCACAGCTTCCTCCATGGCTGACCTCAGGGCCGTCCCCCGTGGCTGGCCTCCGTGTCTGCCTTCACGGCTGTCCTCGTGGCTGACCTTAGGGCCATCCCCCGTGGCTGGCCTCCGTATCTGCCTTCACGGCTGTCCTCGTGGCTGATCTCAGGGCTGTCCCCCGTGGCTGGCCTCCGTGTCTGCCTTCACGGCTGTCCTCGTGGCTGACCTCAGGGCTGTCCCCCGTGGCTGGCCTCCGTATCTGCCTTCACGGCTGTCCTCGTGGCTGATCTCAGGGCTGTCCCCCGTGGCTGGCCTCCGTGTCTGCCTTCACGGCTGTCCTCGTGGCTGATCTCAGGGCTGTCCCCCGTGGCTGGCCTCCGTATCTGCCTTCACGGCTGTCCTCGTGGCTGATCTCAGGGCTGTCCCCCGTGGCTGGCCTCCGTGTCTGCCTTCACGGCTGTCCTCGTGGCTGATCTCAGGGCTGTCCCCCGTGGCTGGCCTCCGTATCTGCCTTCACGGCTGTCCTTGTGGCTGGCCTCGTGGCTGGCTTCAGGGCTGTCTACACAGCTGGCCTCAGTGGTTGCCTTCATGGTTGTCCTTCATGGCTGGCCTCCGTGGCTGGCCTCAGGGCTGTCCCCACAGCTGACCTCCGTGGCTGCCTTCGTGGCTGGGCTCCGTGGCTGGCCTCAGGGCTGTCTCCCGTGGCTGGCCTCCGTATCTGCCTTCACGGCTGTCCTCGTGGCTGGCTTCAGGGCTGTCTACACAGCTGGCCTCAGTGACTGCCTTCATGGTTGTCCTTCGTGTCTAGCCTCCGTGGCTGGCCTCAGGGCTGTCCCCCGTGGCTGGCCTCAGGGCTGTCCCCGTGGCTGTGGGGTTTGAACCCAGAGTTGCTCTCTGGGAGGTGCTGGAGGACAGTGGCAGGACAAGCAGTGCAGGGAGTGGTCAGGAACACAGAGCACACGGTTCGTCAGTGCACACGCTGACTGACACGTGTGTACAGGAGTCCTGCTGAGCACGCTGTCTGCCACGTGTACACAGGAGTCCCGCTGAGCACGCTGTCTGCCACGTGTATACGGGAGTCCTGCTGAGCGTCCCCTAGGGAGCTGATGGGTGTCCACAGCTCTGGCAGCATCATGGCAGCTTGAAGCCTCCAGTGGCCCATGGACCCTCTTCTCGCCCCTGGCTAACTGACATAACCACTGGGCAGATATCCGTGTATGGCAGAGTGAGGTCACAGTTGGCCGTGGGTAAGGAGAGGCCGCGGGTCTATGGAGAGCGTTAATGGGTGGAGTGCGCCACACCTGAGGCCCCAGGAAGGTGCCACACCTGCGGCCCCAGGAGGGCACCCTTCCCGGAGCACCCGTGGGTGGGTGTGCCGTGCCTGCGGCCCCAGGAGGGCACCCTTCCCAGAGTACCCGTGGGTGGGTGTGCCGTGCCTGTGGCCCCAGGAGGGCACCCTTCCCAGAGCACCCGTGGGTGGGTGTGCCGTGCCTGCAGCCCCAGGAGGGTGCCCTTCCCGGAGTACCCGTGGGTGGGTGTGCCGTGCCTGCGGCTCCAGGAGGGCGCCCTTCCCGGAGCACCTGTGGGTGGGTGTGCCGTGCCTGCGGCCCCAGGAGGGTGCCCTTCCCGGAGCACCCGTGGGTGGGTGTGCCAATGCCTGCAGCCCCAGGAGGGCGCCCTTCCCGGAGCACCCGTGGGTGGGTGTGCCAATGTCCGTGGCCCCAGGAGGGCACCCTTCCCGGAGCACCCGTGGCAGCTGCGCCAGCCCCAACACGCCCTTGCCTTGCAGGGACATTGCCAAGAACGCACTGCTACGCTGGAGAGTGTTCATCTACTGGACCTTCCTGGGAGTCTTCGATGCGCTGGTGTTTTTCTTTGGTGCTTACTTCATGTTTGAGAACACAACAGTGGCCAGCAATGGCCAGGTCAGTACGCAGATGGTCTTGACTGCGTAGCTTCTTTCAGATGCGTCCCACAATGCGTCCCTGCAGCCCCCAGCGCCCCCAGCATCAGGGTGCGTGCTGGCGCTACGTCCCGTCAGCATGGCCCACGAGGCCTGCCCGGTGCGCCCACAGCCGGGCCTCTGTAGCCTCCGCCCGTGGCTCAGGTGTACACCGAGGCTCTCCTGACGTGCAGGTGAGCCACCTGTCTAGCACAGTGTCTTCTCATGGGTCCCGAACCCTTTGCTGTGAGCAGGTGCGTGGGGTTATGGGGCGTCAGCCCTCTGCTCGCTGGCGTGATTTCCGGGGGTGTGTTTTATTTGTTTCTCGCTTTTTTCTTTTTGCTACTTGCCTGCTCCCACCCTCAGGTCCTGACGAGCGGCACGCACCTGGTAAGATGGCCGCAGCCTTGTCTGTGTGTCTTTGGAGTGCCTTAAAAGTGAAATATTTCTCAAAAATATTTTTGAACGTGACTTTTCCTGTGTGCTTTGTCAGTAGAGACACCATTAGCCACCCTGCTTTCCCTCGGCACCCCACGTGCCCTGACCTGGCCCCTGGTGTCTGTCCTCTGGGTCTGTGTTGGGCATGGTCATGTATGGAATGTGTTGCTGTGGGCCTGGCAGCATGGGATGCCCCAGGGAACTGGGCCAAGGGGCTTGGGGATGTGCTCAGGGGACATGGCCGTTCCTCACTGAAGTGTCACAGCGTCCACTACCAACCTCAGATGACGCCAGCTTGGCAGCTGTTGGGGCAGCCTAGATGCAGAAGTACTGGGGCTTTCATGGCCCCATAGGTGCCCACCCACACCCCGCCACATGCGGGGACCACTGCCGGAAGGCACAGTCACTCTCTTAGCCAGTTAGGCCGGCCTGGAGAATCTTCCAGATGTGATCATGGTTTTCTAGAACTTTCCCTCTGTCATCTGTTTTAACTGGGTGAAGGGGAGCAGGGCTGCCATTGGCTGAGGCTCCGAATGGGCAGTGTGCGAGCGCCTGCCTCCATGTGCTGGGGAGGGTGACAGTGGTCACTGCGTGCCCCTCACTTCCACACCATGTCCGTCTCATGATAGCAGCCTCTCAGACTGCATTGTTTCCGCTGAAATCTGAGAGCAAGTACAGATCCAGTGGGGGCACGGGGCAGGAAGTGCAGGGGCAGCAGGTGTGAGGACCCCAGGTGCCTGCAGGTGCTGCACCCTCCAGGGTGTGCTGAGCTGAGTCCTCCTGCCCTGCCCGCAGCCTCCAGGACTCAGGACGCAGCTCACGGAGCTGTCATGATCTTGGTTGAAGTCATGCTTGGAGGCAGCTGTGCCTGAGCAGGCGGCAGGTTCAGGGGAACAGGATTACATTTCAATACTGGTGTGCCGAGAACTTGAACTTGAGGCTGTGCAGGTCCTAGGTGCCACATAGAAGTTCACAGGTTCTCGGCAGGAAGCTCCCTGTGAGACTGAGGGAGAGGAGGTGTATGGTAAGGCTCAGCTGTCAGTGGTGGGATTGCCCCTGTTCGGGGGTCCCTGGGATGCTGTGTCCCCACCCAGCTGTGGTCTGAAGCACGTGATGGATGTCCCAAAGTTGTTCATGCAGTCTGGCCTCGCAGGTGTAGCTCAGTCCCAGGCTGAGCATGAGCAGGTCTAGGCTCACCAGGAAGCAGGGGTCCCAGGGGGTGTGCGACCAGCCCCAGAGCCACGGCCCAGGCTCCAGAGGAGCTTCTCCGAGCTGACGGGCCCTGGGCAGTCTCCCAGGCAGCCGCTGTCCTGCCTCATCTTCCTGTCCATCTGTCAGTCGCTGGCTCCGAGGGGCGGATCCTCATCCACTCCGTGTGGTTGGGAGGAGTCCGTGACGTCACCAGGACTCCTTGCAGGTGGGGCTCGCTGCTCTGGATCCGTCACTGCTGACACTCAGCGTCTCCCGAGTCCCCAGAGGAACGCCCTAGCAGAGCTGGAGATGGCTGTCACCCATGGCCATTCCCGTGTGAGGATTGATGTTGGGGCATCAGACAGCAGCACTGCCAAGTCTGTCCCAAAGCCTCAGCCAGCCAAACACACTGAGAGGGGTCCTGAGTGTGTCACAGTGGGCGGGGTCCTGAGTGTGTCACAGTGGGCGGGGTCCTGAGTGTCACAGTGGGCGGGGTCCTGAGTGTGTCACAGTGGGCAGAGTCCTGAGTGTCACAGTGGGCGGGGTCCTGAGTCACAGTGGGCAGAGTCCCGAGTTTCACAGTGGGCGGAGTCCTGAGTGTCACAGTGGGCAGAGTCCCGAGTGTCACAGTGGGCAGGGTCCCGAGTGTCACAGTGGGCAGAGTCCTGAGTGTCCCAGTGGGCGGGGTCCTGAGTGTGTCACAGTGGGCGGGGTCCCGAGTGTCACAGTGGGCGGAGTCCCAAGTGTCACAGTGGGCGGGGTCCCGAGTGTCACAGTGGGCAGGGTCCCGAGTGTCACAGTGGGCGGAGTCCCAAGTGTCACAGTGGGCGGGGTCCCGAGTGTCATAGTGGGCGGGGTCCTGAGTGTCCCAGTGGGCGGGGTCCTGAGTGTCACAGTGGGCGGGGTCCTGAGTGTCACAGTGGGCGGGGTCCTGAGTGTCACAGTGAGAAGAGTCCTGAGTGTCACAGTGGGCGGGGTCCTGAGTGTCACAGTGGGCGGGGTCCTGAGTTTCACAGTGGGCGGGGTCCTAAGTGTCACAATGGGAGGGGTCCTGAGTCACAGTGGGCGGGGTCCCGAGTGTCACAGTGGGCAGAGTCCTGAGTGTCCCAGTGGGCGGGGTCCTGAGTGTCACAGTGGGCGGGGTCCTGAGTGTCACAGTGGGCGGGGTCCTGAGTGTCACAGTGAGAAGAGTCCTGAGTGTCACAGTGGGCGGGGTCCTGAATGTCACAGTGGGCGGGGTCCTGAGTTTCACAGTGGGCGGGGTCCTGAGTTTCACAGTGGGCGGGGTCCTAAGTGTCACAATGGGAGGGGTCCTGAGTCACAGTGGGCGGGGTCCCGAGTGTCACAGTGGGCGGGGTCCCGAGTGTCACAGTGGGCAGAGTCCTGAGTGTCCCAGTGGGCGGGGTCCTGAGTGTCACAGTGGGCAGAGTCCTGAGTTTCACAGTGGGCGGGGTCCCGAGTGTCACAGTGGGCGGGGTCCTGAGTGTCACAGTGGGCAGGGTCCCGAGTGTCACAGTGGGCAGGGTCCTGAGGGTCACAGTGGGCGGAGTCCTGAGTGTCACAGTGGGCAGAGTCCTGAGTGTGTCATGTAGTAGATGGAGTCCCGAGCATCACATGGTGGGTGCGGTTCTGTATGTGTCACGTGGTGGATGGGGTCTCGAGTGTCACATGATAGGGTCCTGTATGTGTCATGTAGTAGATGGGGTCCTGAATGTCACGTGGTAGGCGGGGTTCTGTATGTGTCACATAGTGGACGGCGTCCCGAGTGTCACATGATAGGCAGGGTCCTGTGTGTGTCACATAGTGGACGGGGTCCCGAGTGTCACATGATAGGCAGGGTCCTGTGTGTGTCACGTAGTGGACGGGGTCCCGAGTGTCACGTGGTAGGCGGGGTCCTGTATGTGTCACGTGGTGGACGGGGTCCCGAGTGTCACGTGGTAGGCGGGGTCCTGTATGTGTCACGTGGTGGACGGGGTCCCGAGTGTCACGTGGTGGATGGGGTCCTGAGTGTCACGTGATGGGCAGGGCCCTGTAAGGCAAGCAAAACATTGTAAAGTGTTCAGTGGTGACATCCGGGGCAGCGAGCGGCTGCACTGTGCTCTGGGGGCTGAGGCTGCCTGTTTGCTCAGGGACCAGCAAGGCCTTCTTACTGTTGGGGTCAGGAGGCATGAGGTGTGAGTGGACAGCAGCAGTGACCATTGTGTCCTGGCCACTTCCCTTCAGATCTTTGGGAATTGGAGCTTCGGGACGCTGGTATTCACAGTGATGGTGTTCACAGTGACGCTCAAGGTGAGTGTGGCCCAGCCACCCCTGAGCCCTGCAGCCGTGGGCCCCGTCCCACCCCTGAGCCCTGCGGCCGTGGGCCCCGTCCCACCCCTGAGCCCTGCGGCCGTGGGCCCCGTCCCACCCCTGAGTCCTGCGGCTGTGGGCCCCGTCCCACCCCTGAGCCCTGCGGCTGTGGGCCCCGTCCCACCCCTGAGCCCTGCGGCCGTGGGCCCCGTCCCACCCCTGAGCCCTGCGGCTGTGGGCCCCGTCCCACCCCTGAGCCCTGCGGCTGTGGGCCCGTCCCACCCCTGAGCCCTGCAGCCGTGGGCTGCATCCCACTCGCCCCTGACAGCCTGTGGCTGTGTGCCCTGTCCTACGCCCCCGATCCCCTACGGCCATGCACTCTACCCCATGAGCCCCTTCTCTCGCAGCTGGCGCTGGACACACACTACTGGACCTGGGTCAACCACTTCGTCATCTGGGGCTCGCTGCTCTTCTACGTGGTCTTCTCCCTACTCTGGGGTGGGATTCTCTGGTAGGCGTGGGTCCTGCAGCCGCGAGAGATGTGGGAGGGCACTCTGGGCACCTGCTGTGCGCCGTGTGGGTGCCAGGCCGTGACTGTCTGTCTTGCTGCCCCTGAGGGCACCTTGGGCAGAAAAGGCCTCCATCCACCTTGGACTGGCCCCACGGCTTGTGGCGGCTGCAGAGGAAGGAGCCGCTGGGGAGCTGGGCAAGGAGGCCTGACCTCCAGCTGTCACTCCCCCCAAGGTGACCCAGACACCTCAACTGTCCCCAGGCGTGGTCCCTGCTCTGGCATCTCCCAGGTCATATTGATGCCCTCCTGTGGACAGGGCTGCCTGAGCTAGGCCCGACTAGCACATGCCCATCCCTGCAAGCTGGCCTGCCTGGTCCAAGCCATCTAGACCTGACAGTTTGCTCAGCCACTGCCCCCTGGTAGTCACGGGCCACATGTCAGGGTCTGGAGCCCCAGGGGTGCAGAGGAAGCCCAGTGGCTGTCAGCTATTCAGACCAGACTCTGCTGGTCCCTGCTACGGTGCCATCTGAATTACTGATGTGCAATGGGATGTCAGCTGATGCTGTGTGACTGGCAGTCCTGGACAGGCCCTGTGTGTCCCCCTGCCAGCAGCCACTGGCCAGGCTGTGACCCCTCTGATGCTCCAGCCTCTGTTCCTACTGGGCCACCGTCTTCTGCCTGCGTATTGCCCTGCTGTCCAGCCAGTGACCTCTGAGTGGGCAGCCCCAGGACACGCACAGAGATGCCGGGAATGGCTGCTAAGAGGCTGCTGGTGCCCTCCTGCCCACAGGCCGTTCCTCAGCTACCAGAGGATGTACTACGTGTTTCTGTACATGCTGTCCAGTGGGCCTGCCTGGCTGGCCATCCTGCTGCTCATCACGGTGAGCCTGCTGCCTGACGTCCTGAAGAAAGTGCTGTGCCGGCAGCTGTGGCCCACAGCGACGGAGCGGGTCCAGGTACAGGGCCACCCAGGGCCGAGTGGGGAGGGCTGGCTGGCCCATGGCCCGGGGTGGAGTATGGACATACAGCCCAGTGTTCACTAAGGACATTGCTTCCCTTCCACACTTGCACGGGAGGGGGGCGGCTAGGGCCTGTGTCTTCCAGCACAGGAGTGGCCGTGGTTCTGGCCTCTACTGAGCCAGCCCCGGTAGAGGCAGCTGACCCCACCAGCTCTCCCACCCCAGGAGCATGACCGTTTGTTCAGCTTCTCCTGCAGGAGGGATGAGGCAGGCCCAGGCCCAAACTGACCTCTTGGCCCAGTCCCCAAGCATGTGGCCAGGTTTGGAGCAGGAAAGAGGAACCACTGCCTTGGGGTCCATGTGGCCACACCTAGTAAGTCTGGCAGTCGAAGCTGCGCCTGCTCTATATTTGTCAGAGCACGCACATTCCGAGGGCACGTGGCCAGCCCAAGACCACCTGCTCTCGGACTGCTCCTGTGCTTCCTGTGTGGCGGTGACATCCCAGAACTGAGATGGCCCTGACACACCACATGGCTCACAAGCATGGTGTGCCAGAGCCAGGGCGCCTCGGGCAGGGGAGTCAGGTGCTATGGCTCCTGCGGGGTGGCGGCGCTCAGGAGACGCTGCCCATGGCTCCGCAGGGCAGCTCCAGGAAGCCTGCGTGCTGTGGCCGCATCGTGTGCAGGGCAGGCTGAGCAGAGTGGAGGCATGCCTCCAGGTCCAAGGTCTGCTGGAAGTCAGACGCACTTGAGTAGGTGGAGCTCAGGTCTGCGGGCCACGGGAGCCTCGCCACGAGGACTCTGGGCAGGGTTTATGGAGCGCTGCACTCCTTCCTGTGGGAGGTGATGTCATGTTCTGGTGGGTGGGCCCACCTGCAGGAACCTTCTGGAAACGCCAGTGCAAGGGGCGAGGGGGACCTCCTTTCTCTGCCTCCAGTGTCGAGGGCCCTGCTGCTCTCAGTCTCCGTGAGCCCCTGAGCTGGCTCCGCTGAGACCCAAGCCGAGGGCGGCCATGCAGCAGGCAGCAGGGCGCACAGGGCCATCCCCAGGAAGCCGGGCCCGTCTCTGACCGCAGGACGTGCCTGGAGCATGCTGACCTCTAACCGACTTACCACCTTCTCTTGTTTCTCTCCCTGCCTCCCCCTTGCCTTCCGACCTGCTCTGCCTAATTACCCTGCCCTGTGCACACGTCGGTGCTCGGCCGCGGCCGGGGACTGGCAGACTAAGCACCAGTGCCTTCCTGCCGAGCGGCCCACCGTCTTTATGCTCTCTCAGACCTCCAGCAGTCTGAGTTTCTGATGGAACAAGGTGATGTCCCCTGCCCCCTCCTCTGGGACGGTGGTGGCTGCACCCCTTCTGTGCTGTGCGCTCACAGCCTCCGTCCCCAGAGACCATGGCGGGCACTGTCCCCCACGTTCCTCTCTCGGGGTGCACCAGAAGGGTCAGCCCTGGCACCTGGGCAGGCCTCGCCACATTCACGCCACGATGTCCTCAGCTCTGCTCCTTCCACGCACGTGACGCAGTGGGTGCCTGCGGTATGCAGGCTGCAGGGCCCAAGCAGAGTTGACCTGGCGCTGCCTTCTCCCAGCCCCCATGCACCCGTGAGCCACCCGCAGCTGGCAGAGCCAGGGGCCTGGGACCTCGGCACACAGCTGGTCAGACATTTGGCTGTCTCAGACCTGGTTGTTTTAGGCACTGACAGTGGCATAGAACTAAAGCGGGGCTGAGCCTGCCCACAGTGCCCGCTAGGTGCCCCATGCAGAAGCATGCCGTGCTGTGCAGTGGCCAGCACCTTGAGCACGTGCCTGCCTTTGGGGCCCACTGAAATGCCTGCTTAACTAGCACTGCCCCAGGAAGGCTTGTGGCCTTTTAAAGGAATCAAAGCCACCACTTCCTCTTAGGCCTCAGCCTGCTGGAGTAAGTTACTTAGTTTCACCCCCACTGCTCACATACCCGCAGCAGGAGGTACCTCCGCGGCTGTGGCCCCCGCCTGGGTTGTGGCTGGGAGAAGGTGGCCCGGTAGGGCAGGGCCCCTGGCCAAGATGTCGCCAGCACCCACGCACACTCACACGAGTGGCACCCCCGCACCCCCGGTGAGCACAGGGCCACCAGTACACGGCAAGGCTTTGGAGGAACGACACCGCTTCCCTCACAGGGCGGGTCTGAGTTCCCTTGTTCCCATAAAGACGCTGTGCGTGTTGCATGGGCCTTGTGTGACACTAATGTGCACGCCTGTCTGTCTGGCGTCGCCCCATCACCACCCTGTGATGGGGCAGCTCCCGCTCCCCCCACCCTCCTCCTCCTCCACGCTGGACCTCGGCCTGTCCAAACCTGTCCTTCTCCAGCTGCCCTCGCCCGTCCCCAGGGCACTGGTCAGACTGGGCCCAGGACACATGCCCCTCCTGGGGCGCGCAGCTCCCTGCCGCCAGGTCCGAGCATGGCCCTCGGGGGCAGCAGCGGCCAGGCCTGGGGCAGCTGTGGGGCAGCAGCCCCCGCCCCTGCCAAGGGCACCGTCTCAGTGTTCTTCCTCGCCCCTGCAGAAGCGTGCGGAGCGCAAGGTGCCGGGCGGCGACAGGCCCCTGCTGAAGGACCTCCTCCCGCGGCCGAAGCGCCGTTAGCCCGATGCTAGGTAACGCTGTGGCCGCGCCCGCTGGGCACTAGGCCGGTGTGCTGTGGCTTTCAGACCGCACCCTCTTCCTCCAAAGTTTTGCTGTGTCTGTGCCGTGTTGGGAGCCGAGGCGCACGTGGAGAGAAGCACCCCTTGCCCACACGCACGCACTTGCTGTGTCAGGTAAGTGCCTGGCTGAGGGAGCTTCCTGCGTGCCCCACCTGAAGGCTGGCCAGCCCCAGAGGACGCAGCACACGGCCCTCAGGTACTCAGGGCACGGCAGCAGTTGTCCTCATCGCTGCTCTGGTCCCCTGGGCTGGACAAGCCGGCTAGCACCCAGTGGAGCCCTGTGTAAAGTGACTTTCCCTGGGCGTGTCCTGCCTGGCTAAGCCGGATGGTGTCGTGTGTGTGGGCATCTTCCCCAGCCTCACTGGCTGGTCAGTGTGGACTAACAGGTCCCATGCCAGCCATGATCAGTGGGATGTGGGGCAGGCGAGCCTGGCCTCTGCCCCACAGCTGGTGGCTCACGAGCGGGTGGTGGGAACGGGATCACATGGAGGTGCCCGGGACTGAGGCATGGCCTGATCCTCTCAGCAGAGCGTGCTGTGTGGGCTTGGCATCCCTGGATCCGTCCCCTGGCCTCTGCGCAGCCCTGGTACCCTGGCCGCCTGGACGATGCAAGAGCCGTGAGGAATGGACACTCCAGCGCACCTGAGCTCAGACCTGTGGCTCCAGGCATCTGGGCGGGAGTCGCTGTGTGATGACTGTCACTCCCAAGTGTCCATGTGGGCCCCAGTGCCCAGAAGCCGAGGGGAGGGTCGTGGGGATGTGCTTGGACACACTGCAGACTGGACAGCACTGCTGGCGTCTCCTGCACTGGAGCACAGAGTGGACAGACTGTGTGTGCTACAGCCGTGACGCGGGCTCTGCCAGGAATTCCGAGAGGAGCAGAGCCCTCGGGGCAGGTGGCTGCGCAGCCAGCTGCTGGCTGGGCGCCTCTCTTGCCTCATCTCCCTCGTCCCAGCATCCCTGGGGACCACAGGGGCCTGGGCTGTGCACTTGTTCTAACAGACATGTGGCCACATCAGGCTGTGACCCGTGTCTACTCCCCCAGACCCACGGCTGGCCTAGGTGTCCCCACCTCACCTCACAGGGCAGGCCCAGCTGTTTGCACACACACTGGCCGTGTGCTCGGAGTTCTCACTTCCCTGTCCACGTGGACGGGGGCTGAGCCCCTGGCAGGGAGCGGGGTGCCGTCAGTCACCATCAGGGAAGTGTTCGTCGCACGGGGCTGCGAGGGTGGGACGGCTGGGGCTCCTTGTCCTGGCCAGGGGACAAGGCCATTTCCTGCCCCACACAGGCAGGCCCTGTGTTGGTGCTGGCCCTGCTCCCACCCCCGTCTTGGGTGACCTGCCTGACATGGTCAGCTGGTCCTGAGGGAGTGATGCGGTCCCAGGGTCCCCAGTATCTTGGCCCAGGTGTCAAAGCTGTGTGAGGGGGGACCCCAGAGAGCAAGGCCAGGGCTGAGCAGCAAACCAAAGACAGGGTACCCAGCGGCCCGCAGCCCCGCCCGCAGGCAGCGCCAGGCACATTTTACAGCCCCACCCCAGCAGCCACGCGGATGCGGCCGTGGCCCCGCCCAGAGGTCCTATTCAGTTCACAGATTCTTTGTATGGTATTTTTTTAGAGATTCTGAAATGCCTTCGCTGTGGAGTATTTTCATAAGTGTTTCTATCTTGTTCTGTTGAGGGTTTGCTGTTTTGGGTTCGAGTCTGTCCTGCAGCTCTTGTCCTTGTGTTGAAATCCTGGCCGCCCTGTGCCCGCGCCCGGCTCTGCAGGCCAGCTTCTGGCAGGCGTGGCCAGTGGCAGGGAGGCTACACCGTCTGCTTTTTCTGTTTGTTTCCTTCCTTGAGCCTTAAGCCACAGGGTCCCCGCCCACCTGTATCGCACAGATCCACCCTTGGCCTCTGGTGTGGAGGCCACGAGTGGCTGCACCCTGAAGTGTGAGGAGCTGGGGGCGTGATTCAGCAAGGGTGCCTGAAGGCTTGCCACGGGCGAGGGCCCGAGGCCGGATGTGGAGGAAGAGGAGCGAGGCCAGGGACAGCCTTGGCTGTGGTGAGGATGGAGGACGCACAGCCCTGGCCTTGCCTGGAGTGCCGTCCCGGCGCTGCACCGGACCAGGGGCCATCGGATCCGTGCTCCGGCCGTGCGTGTGCAGGCTCACCACAGGCACCCCGCCCTGCTGCCTCATTGCTTGCACTCTGCCCCTCCAGGCCAGGCAGGGAAAAGCACACACCCCGCTGGCTGCAGCAGAGAGGCCGTGGACCCAGGTGGCCCGAGCAGGACCTGCACCCACCCACGGGCCCTGCTGCCGCGAGGCCAGGAGTGAAAATGGGGCACTATCCCATGGCTTCCTCACCTGGGACGACCTTCAGAGGCGCTGGAGGACGCCCCTCTCAGACCACCTCATTGCCCCCGTGTGCCTCAGCTGTGTCCTCCACGTGTCCTCCGGGAGGGTCAAGTGTGGGCCTGGCCATGTCTGGGCAGAGCTTTAGCGGCCTGAGTCACTTCTGCAGGAACTAAAGATAGCGCATACAGCTTTATTTCTACCTTCTAAGTAAGAGTTTTATTCACATACATGACACGAGGTGTGTCTGCTTCACCCCTGAAAATGTCCCCTTCCACGCCGCGTGACCCCAAGACGAGTGTGGGCATTTACTGTGAACGGCACACTGCAGCCGCCATCTGTACCCACGTTTATTTCCCAGTTCCTGGGCCGTGCCACGAGGCATGTCTGACCCAGGCACCATTCCCTGCTGTGACGTGAACTCGCCATCGGACTGCCAGTCAGGTGCCAGGTCTGTGAGGAGTGCTGCTGTTGACTCCTGCTCGCAAGTGTGACTTGCCGTTGGTTCTGTGGCACTGTCCTGCAGCTGACCTGCGCAGGAGGTCTGAGCGTTTGCAATAAAGGGAAAACCTGTTTCTGTTTATAAACAAAAGCACTTGAGTCGTACTTGGGTCTTGTAAGACGACAAGGCAGAGCCACGCGTCGGGTGCTTCTGTCGGGGGAGGAGGGTCCAGGTGCGTCAGGCCCCTCGGCCACGCTGGACATGGTCATCTGCCACCACCTGTGCGCAGCCCAGCTCTCCCACCCTCCATCCACACGGACGGCCGCATGGACTCAGGACAGGCATGGGTAGACACAGCATAGATGCAAGATGGACATGTCATGGACAGCATGGGGCCCAGGCTACAGCAAGCTCTTCAAAGCTTTACAACTGCTAACCTCATCCCAGCCTCTGCCCCACCCACACACCTCCACCTGGTTTCCAGATGTTTCCAGATCCTGGGGCCCCCTCCCCAGTCCCACACATCACCGGAAGCCCATGTGCCTGAGCCCCTTCCCAGGGGAAGCCCCAAGCCTGGCCTAGTGCTCTCTTGGAGGCACACAGGTGCCTCTAAGCTGCCAGGGATGGTGACCAGTGGCTGGCCATGTTCCCTATGCATCCACTTGCTCCTGGTCACACTCCTGGCTCACTGGGGTGGTGGTGGGATACCCACCGCAGGCCATGTTGGAGGTATTGTCAGTAAGCCTGAGGGTGCTGCTGGGAGGACGGGAGCCAGATGGGTATAATGTGCAGAAAGGTGGCAAAGGCTGGCCTCCTGTTGGCCAGAGGTGCCCGTGGCCTTCCTGCCATGGCAGTGCTGCCTTCTGCCCCATCTGGGATCTCCTGCACTGCCCCCTCCAGGCATCACAGGCCTTGGAGGGGGGGGCGTTGTGGGCCTGTGTGCCTCCTAGAGCCAGCTTGGCTAGCCACAGCTCTGGCCTGTGTCCGGGGTGGTAGCTCCACACTCCTACCCAGCTTCTCACCCCACAGGTTTCTCCCCAGGAAGGTTCCAGGGTGGGGCTGAGGGATCTGCCAGCATTCCACTAGATCCTATGTCCTGGGTCATCCCTCCTCCTGGCCGAGCCTGGCCCCTGCTCTCTCCTCCTCCTGGAGCCCCCTTTGCCAGCACCCCGCCTCCCCCTACCAAAGTAGCCCAGCGTTGGGGGGGGCGCCCAGCACGCTGGGCTCTGCAGCTCCTGGCCCCCAGGGAGTGAGGGTCTGAGTGCCTGCTCCTCAAAAGAGAACCCTGTGCCCCACTCTGACCCTCAGCCCTTCTCTGCCAGGCAGTGGTGACTGACCCTGAGCTCTCTACAATGCCTCCGTCCCCATTCCCACCAACCAGTCCCCAGGGGGCTCTTGGACCCACTGCCCAGATGCAAGTGCTGAGTCTAGCAGGGTCCCTGCTGCTGGGCCAGCCCTGGTTCCCCTGCCACTTAAAGGGTTGGGACAGGACAGCAAGGGGACCTCTCTAGCCCCGCAGATCTCAGCCAGAACACAGCCCACAACCGGACACTCTGCCCAGCCGAGCATGCTGACCTGGGAGGGGTGGGGCTCCCGCTGGTCCCCGCCCCGTCCCCTGGCCCCTCTGTCCCAGCCTTCCCCTTTCCTGCACCCCTTGTTCGGTATCCACAGGCTGGAGAAGCAGCACCTTTGGTGCGGCCACTGGCGGTGCTGGGAGCAGGAAGCGCTGAGGGAAGAGTCCACTGCCGACAGGTGCGCGGGAGGGCGGGGGAGATGACGGAGGAAGCGGGAGGGGACACAGCGTGCAGTCTGCCCACCAAGGACGTCCCAGGACCCCGGGTGCACTGGGGCAGCAAGCTCCCGGTAGCTGTAGACTGCCCTGCAGCCCAGAGTCCACAACAGAGACGCCTGGAACACTCCATGGTCAGCATGGGCTTCCCTGCGGTCCCGTGGGCAGCTGCTTCTGCTGAATTCCCTAGGGACCGGACAAGATGCCCAGGTCTGGCCAGCATGCAGTGGAGTCCACACCTGCTTGACCCCCTGCTCCACCCCCGCCCCCTGGCCAACACTCCCAACCAGACCATGAAGGCCACCCCAGGAGTTACTTTTTAATCAGGCTGCCCTGCGGGCTGGGCTGGTGATGGTCACGAATGACCCCAGCCAGCCAGCTGGTGAGGATGAGACAGCAGGTGCACTGCCCCCGCCTGCAGTAGAGTGAACGCCCCAGACAGGATGTGCAGGGGTGGCATGTGGGAGGTCCCAGGATGTGTGGCCACAGGGAGGGGTAGAGCTGGACACACAAATAGAGGAGCTGGGCTGCTGCCCAGAGAAGAGGTAACTGGCCTGGCCAGCTGGGAGTGGGCCGGGGCCGCAGCTCGCAGCACAGGGTCCAGGTGGGCATTGCCCAGTGTGATCCACTGCAGCAGGAGGGAGCCCTCCGCCCACGCCCACCAGGACCAGGGCTCTGGATTGTCCTAGGGCTCCCGAGCTCCCACATCCAGGGAAGAGACCACCCTGTGTGTGGCAACTCATGCTTCCAGGAGGCTGCTGGAACCAGGGGTCGGAGTGTGACAGCCAGGGTGCTACTCACTGCTCCTGCTTCCCTGGGCTTGAGCCCCCTGTGGTCACAACCTTAGAGATCAGCTGTGACAATGCAGATTCCCCAGCCCCCACACAACCTCCCACGCCCCATCGGGGTGCTGGAGGGCAGAGGGCCTCTCCTGGGGGCCCTAAGACATCAGTATTCCATATGGGCACTGGTTCTAATCCCGGCTGCTCCACTTCCCATCCAGCTCCCTGTTCATGGTGTGGGAGGGCAGCAGATGATGGTGCAATTTCCTGGGACCCTGCACCAGCATGAGACCCAGACCAGCTCTGGCCATTGAGGCTCTCTGGGGAATAAACCAGTGGGCGGACGGTTTCTCCCTTTCTCTCTCTGATTTTCTACCAAATCATTATTTTTATTTATGTTTTGAAAGATTTATCTGTGGAAAGACATATTTACAGAGGGAAGGAGAGACAGAGAAAGATCTGTCTGCTGGTTCACTCCCCAAGTGGCTGCAATGGCCAGAACTGAGTTGATTTGAAGCCAGGAGCCAGGCGCTTCTGGTCTCCCACGTGGGTGCAGGGTCCCAAGGCTTCGGGCCGTCCTCAACTGCCTTCCCAGGCCACAGGCAGGGGATGGGAAGTGGAGCCACTGGAGCAATTGAGCCATTACCTGAGGCCCTCCAGTAAATCGTTCTCATGAAGTAGAAAGTATAAGTGAAGCTGCTGGTGCGTGGGAGTCCTGGCGGCCATGAGAAGGGTAAAGACGAGCAGCCGAGGGCCTGGGGAAGGCCAGCGCTGCCCAGCAGGCAGCCCCGACCATCTGGCCTGAAGCTCCCAGCTTCTCCCCTCGGGAGATGTCAGGACCTGAGGCACTTCCACAAAGCACCCAGTCGGGAGGCGCTGGCCCTGCCTGGGCAGCCTCGGTTCTGTGCCAAGGGCCTCCTTGCTGGGCAGAGTGGCTCATCTTCCGCTCTCGTCGGTTCTCCCCGCCACAGCCTCGTGTTGCACCGGTATAGATCCATCCTGGCCAGGAAAGCCGGAAGCCACCAGCACCCTGACCCGGAGTACCAGGTCAGGATCACCGTTGTCCCTGGCCCCGTGGGCCCTGCTGCCCCCTCAGGTGAGCACCTGCACCCGTCTGTCCTGAGCCTGCGGCTGTGAGCTTCGGACCCTCACTGGTGACCGCGTGGACGTGGCTTGCAGCTGCACGCTGCCCCCGACGAGGTGTCCAAGGTTATCTGAGCTAGGGTTTGAGGTTAAGGTTGGCTCCAGGCACTGGCTGTGGAAAATAGCTCCGGGTTTTCAGTGTGGCATACCTACAGGGACTTGGGGAGAACAGAGTGGATGATTGGGGTCCCTGTGCTGTGTGCCACAGGCTTGGGACCAGCTGAGCAGTGGGACTGAACCACGGGAGATGTGTAGGGAGGCAGGCTGGCCTTCCATCTGCGATGTGGGCCCCGATCGGGGCCTTGTTGGGTGAACATTTGGTTCTGAGGCCTCCCTGGTAGACATCTACTTGTCCTTACCCCAAACGAGGGGATGTGCCAGAGCTTGTGTCCCTCACATACACCTGCTGCCTGCAGCCTCGGCACACACCGCAGAGTTCGGGGTGTCCACGCCTGCACATAAATGCTGGCCCCTGCCTGGGCATGGCACAGCCAACCTGAGTGGACCACCAGGTTAGTGGGCGTTGTCCCCAGCCAGCGTCAGTGAGTGGTTCTACAGGGTACGGGGGCCTGGTGTCCTCCGTGTTCTAGGTCGTGCGTGCCTGGGAAGCCCCGCTGGATGGGGCCGCAGGGACCCAGGCCTGTACACAGTGGGAGGCCTGCCCACACACCCGCCCACTGCCCATGTGCCTGTGCACCTTTACAGCCGGGCTCTCAGCCTGGCTACAGTGGAACCACCCAGTAGCACGACGCTGGCTGGAGTTCCCGAGTGTCCTGTGGCCCCCAGGTCCTCCCACAACTGCTACCCTGGCCACCCAAAATCCTTTCTGGGTCTGACCTGCGCCTCACGGGCCGCCAAGTACCTCGGGCTAGCTCCTCATTGCTTCCATTTCCACCATGCAAACCCAGATGTGACCCCAACTCCACTGTGCGTGACTCCTGGAGGGGCTTAGGCAGAGCTGGGGCAGGCCCCCAGCTTCACCCAAGGTTCTCGGCCCCTACCTCGTCACCATGGCTCTCTGCTCGGGTCCCCCAGCCTCAGACAGGCAGGGTGCGTGGCCTTTTCAGCCCTATGGTGTAGAAAGGCCTGCCTCTTCCTGCCTTGGTTTCCCGTCTCACCTCAGACACTGCTCCCCCAAGGGACACCCAGCGGGACCCACCCCATCCAGACCCATGTGGTCTTCTCCAACCTTCTGATGCAGCCTGCCTGTGCCCTCCCTGTACCAGCCCCGCCAGTGCCCTCCCGCAGGGTCTGTGCTCCCCATGTCCCAGTGGACCACGTCCTGTGACCATCCACCTGGGGCTACTTCCCATTGGCTGGGGAGGGGACAGGGCCTTCTCGGGAGGGGGGGGGCCTCTGGGACCCTCAACCTTGGGTGAAGGGATCCCCAGAGGCCCAGACTCTCATTGGTCCTTGGCTCCTGTGGTCCCA